CAGGTTAAGAACTTTGCTTCAGGATGAGAACATAAATTGTGCTCCGGCGGCGCGGCGGCAGCAGGAGGCCCCATTAGCTAAAGTGGTGCTTCAGGTTAAGAACAGTTTCAGATTAAGTACGGAACTCCGGAACAAATTAAGTACTTAACTCGAGGTACCACTGTATTTATAACAAGAAATATTTCAACATGGAAGAGATGCCACAAAGAAGCTCTGATGCTCAAAAGAGACCACCTTTGCTGTGAGTCCTGGAAGACTTGCTTCTTGCCTAACCCTAACCAAAAAACCCTCAAAAACAAAAACACAAAATAAATAGCAAAAACAAAAACACCAAACTTAAGTCCCTTTGACTTCTGACATGTTCGAAAACCAAGGCGCAGCTTCTGATTGGTGCAGGCACCCTGGAAACAATAGCCGACAGCTGCATTGGATGTTCAGCTTCTGAAAAATGTTCAAAAACTGGAACACTTACTTCCAGGATTCCGGTGTTTGGGAACCAAGGTGTTTGAGTACCAAGGTGTTTGAGAACCAAGGTACCACTGTATACTTACTGAGACATTTTTATTTCTTGTTTATAACTACTTTTGTAATCATGCAAATCTTTCCATGTTGTATGCTGCATTGAGCCTGTTTCACTATGGAAAGTGTTATGTACTGAGCTGAATCCTAGAACAATAGGATCCAGAATGCAGCAGTCTGATTGGTCCACAGGAGCCACCTAATCAAGCTCCAGATGGAAGTGAATCAGCGACCTGATTGGCCTGCAGGAGCAGCCAATCAGGCTCTTGGATGAAGTGAATCAGCAACCTGATTGGCCTACAGGAGCAGCCCGGAATTAGCCAATCACACGGTGCCAATTGTGTAAATAATGTATATATAACTAGACGTTTTGGGGAAAGTTTCATTCATTGCTACTACGAGCTGAATAAAGAGTATGAAATTCACACTTGACTCTGAGTATATTTCAGAAAGGCAGCACACAAATAAACAATGATGGTGAAGAAAGATGCATCAATATGAGCAGTGCTATTTTTCTAGAAAAATAGGCGCCGTAAGTCACCATGAACACCTCCCTTGTTCTTCTAGAATGGTAGTGGCACCCATCTGAGAACTGAATTCCAGCAAATTCCAGCTGAAAAAAGCCCTGAATATGAGGCTAACTGTACTAAGTTCATGCCTTGGGAACTACCACTTCTCTCGTCCTATGATGAGGCCTCTGCTGGAGTCATTACCTTAGTTTCTTCTCAACTAGGCAAGTGCAGATCACAGCTTTATTCCTATGCATGCTTACCAAAGGTGGGAGGTTAAGTGCATGCTTTAGCTGCAGAAGATCCCAAGTTCAAGTCCCCAGATCCTGAACTGGAAAGACTGGTCCGAAGCCATGGAGAGCTGCTACTGGTCCATGTAGACAATACTGTGCTAGATGGAACAATGGACTGATCTGGCCCTAGACTGCTTCCACTTTCCCCATATATTTGGAAGTTAATGTTCTTAGGATTAGACTGCAAAACCCAACAATGACATTTCTCTTAATTATACCAGCTTGCCTTATACCACCACCATGGCCAGGGACAGCCCCACCATTAGACAGAATGAGGCATCTTCCTCTGGCAGTTGCTGCTGGGACAAAGGAGCAGCCCCAAAGGCTGGGAGGGCTGTGCCCTGCATCCCCTGAGCTAGCCTGCTGCCCTCAGGTGCAGTGTATCACTGCCAGCATTTAAGGGCTTGCTTAGCATTTCACATCCACCTTGACTTGCCTCTATGATCTATGGATGCCTCCAGGGCATTGTGTGGTTCTGTTTCATTGACTTGAGTTCTGAGTTCCTGCTGCCCGTGAATGAGGGCAAGATGCTTGGGCTTCCTCTTCTGTGCTTGGCCTTTGGCCCCTTTGAGCTTATAAATTCCTAGCAGGGGACAGGGGGCATCTGGGAGGCTATTAATGCCTCCACATACCCTGAGGGAAACAGTTGCGTGACTGCTCTAGAAAGAGCCCTTTCTCTAGACCAGGGGTCGACTGGTTCACTCCAGCGGAGATCCCTCCGTGGGCTGGATCGTGCAAGATTTCTGGTGTCTGTGTCTGCACAGACACCATTTCCAGCATCTGCATCTGTACAGACACAATTTCCGGTGCCGTGGAAGCGAGTACCCACGCTGTGCTATGCCAGTTTAGTGCCGCATGCGGGGACTCACCGAGCGGGCGGCTTGGTTTGTGGGTGACTCGTGGGCCAGTTAAACAACCCCCGTGGGCTGCTTGTGGCCCATGGGCCTTAGGTTGCCAGCCCCTGCTCTAGACCTTGAGGGCTACAAGAGCATCAGCTAGCAACAAATCTACTCCTTTTCTGGGTTGAAGGCAGGTGGCTGCTGTCCAGCTTCCAGAAGTGGCATTTGCAGTGCAATGGGGGACATGAAATGCTGCCGAAAGACTCCACCCACCCACAAATCTGAGCCTTCCTTACATGCGCAGAGTGTTGTGCACAGCCCTTAGATCCAAGACATTGCCTCTCGATAATGGTGATGAAAATAAACTACTAACATTGTTTTTTGTAGAATAAATCACCAGCCTGTAACTTGCTAGGCTTTTGCTGCCCATGCACTCCCCCCCCCCCCGTTCCTGCTTGCCCTCGCCGGCGTTCTTCTCCCCCAGCAATCAGGTTTCTGTTGAAAGAATGCTGCAGAAGAGTGGAAAGCGACTTTCATCCTCTCTTAATGATCGGATCTCTTCTTCCTGAGAAGAAACAGCCTAGAGGTCTCGGGTGAAGAATGAGATTTTCAGCATTGTGACAAGAATCCTGTTTGACAACCCTGTTTATGTTGCAGGAAATAATGACTGCTGACAATTTTGAGGACCACCCGCTGGATTATTTACTTTCAGAGTCAACTCTGTTTAGATAGTGTTACAGTTTCGCATCTGGCCTGCCCGCACATGCTACTTGAATGCTGTGTTTCAGTTAGCGCAATGCGCCGGGAGTGTAATCAATAATGTGTATATGTCACGTTGTCAAGCAAAGGCTATTAATATCACACTCTTGAGGCTCACATTAAACATTTTGCTCACTTAAAAGGCCGGGAGCCCATTAATGGAATTGGGTTTTCTTTACATAATAGGGATGGAAATGCTGGTGGAACAGTATGTGGATGATTGCGGGTCGCTTTTAAGATGGAAGAAAGTAGTTTGTGCTTGTATTAATTCAAGGGGCACTAGCTGGTCCTTATTTCAGGGATCAGGTGTGCTGTTTGGCCCCTTTCGGACTGTGCTACAGAGAGGGAAGGGACGCGGGTGGCGCTGTGGGTTAAACCAGAGCCTAGGACTTGCCGATCAGAAGGTCGGTGGTTTGAATCCCCACGGCGGGGTGAGCTCCCGTTGCTCGGTCCCAGCTCCTGCCAACCTAGCAGTTCGAAAGCATGAAGTGCAAGTAGATAAATAGGTACCGCTCTGGCAGGAAGGTAAACAGCATTTCCATGCGCTGCTCTGGTTCGCCAGAAGCAGCTTAGTCACGCTGGCCACATGACCCGGAAGCTGTATGCTGGCTCCCTCGGCCAGTAAAGCGAGCGCCGCAACCCCAGAGTCGGCCACGACTGGACCTAATGGTCAGGGGTCCCTTTACCTTTACCTTACAGAGAGGCAAAGGGAGATTTTGTGCTTACATGAGTCTCTACCGTACTAAGCCTAGGACCAGCATGGACTGCAGTGTACAAAGATGAACTCCAGATTCATTTTACGGTAGCTTATATATTCCTTTTGAAGCTGCTTTATATTGAATTACTGTGTTCTCAATTTTTGCTTTGTAAACCATTTGATCCTAGAAGTCAGAATTGTTTCAAATAAATAAAACTTGCAGGTCTTCCCCAGCACATTGTCTACATGGCTAGTTGTCCTCTACAGCACAAAACCAGGAATGCTGGAAGTTCCCAGGACACTTGGCCCCTTTGGTTTATACACACTAGGGCAGGTTACAGCCAATCGGATGGATCTGGATATGTGGAGCCCTACCGTTAGGCAAAATGAGCCAACTGCCTCAGGCAGCAGATGCTGGGTGACGGGGAAGTGGCAAGATGTTGGAGGGCAAAGCTACATAGCTCACCCTGAGTTCCCCAAGCTAGACTGGTGACTTCAGGTGCTGTGGAGGACACTGTCCCATTGCCAGCGTTGAAATAAGACTCAGTTGCCAATGTGAGTGGCTTTTGTACATGGAATGGAGGGGGAATTGCTCTTTGCTTCAAGCAGCAAAATGGCTCAGACTGGCTCGGAACCCCGGCTGTGTCAGTCACGCTTTAATCTGAGCAATCATATCTGCTGCTATGGAAGTATCCACTTGGGCACCATTTTGTGGAATGTATCCACAGAAGAAGGTGGGATTAGCTTCTAAGTAAATATGAGTGGGCTGTTAGTACGGATCCAACCCAATGTGCTTATCCTCAGAAACCTCCAGGTAGAAACTGAGGCACTAGAATGACACTTTGCTGCACTATCTCCATGGCTGGTGAGGCTCTAGTATAAATAAACACAGATTAACCAAAAAATTAAGGACTTCACAAATAAGGAGAAGGTGTACTCAAGCAGAATGTGCCATCAGTGGGGTGGAGGGAAGGATCGGTGCGAAAGAGATATTCCTCTCAAGGCATGCTGTCATTCCAGCACATGCACGGAAATGGCTACTTCGTGTTTACCCATCCATGTTACAACAAAGCATACCTATGGGGTTTCATAGATAGCAGCCTGGTTCACACGACACAGTAATCCATACCTTGGCTCAGCTGCCGTGCTGGCCTAAAAGGCAAGTGGAAGAACAAATTTGTGTGCAACTCTTTGGGAGTCAGCGCAGTCCTGGCACACCATAATTTGGCTTACTATGCGGTTTGAATGAGAGTAGCTGAAGCTCAAAACTGATTATTAACCCCTTAGCATTTATTTATTTTAAAGCAAAAGTGTTCCAAGGCAACAGAATTGTGCAGCAGTGCCACAGAGGGCCAAAAGTGAGCAAACAGCCCGTGATTCTCTAGCCTGGATTGCTCGGTTGGTTAGAGCGTGATGCTGATAACAACAAGGTTGCAGGTTTGATCCCCGTATATTCCTGCATTGCAGATGATCCTCAGGGTCCCTTCCAACTCTACAATTCCATGATGCTATGAATGCCTCTCCTACTCTGTTACAGAGGATTGGTGCTATTTTAAAATCCTGCAGATAAAACAAAGGATGGTTTATCCCTTCAAACACCACACCGCTCACTTAAATATTATCTTCACTGCTGCCGCTGCTTCTGTAGATCAAGGACAATGCCTTTTGGAAAGTAGCAACCAGTCATTTATATACAACACTTGCTGAAAAGAATCCTTAGTCGACAAAAGGCACACACTTGAGAATAAACTTTCCAGACGCCCACATCTTATAGCAAAACTCTGATGTGATAAACTGTATAAGAACTAAAACCCCGTAAGCCACAATCTAGCTAAAACGAAGCACATGTTAGCAGGTGCCCAGACCTCTTTAAGAGAGCCAGTGTGGTAGGGCTAGAACTGGGGACAATTACGTTGTCATGAAGCTCCTTTGGTAAACTTGGACCAGTCATTATCTCTGAGCTAGCCTACCCTCTCAGGATTTTATGCAAATCAGTGTGGGATTTAACAGTGCTTCACTTTGGCTAGAGTATGGGACAGAGGAAGGAAGGGGGAATACATTTTTTGGGGCGAGTTGACAGCAGGGTTGTTGTTTTTAGCAGGAACTCAGGGGAACTGAGTTCTCTTGCATTTTTAAAATCAAATAATTCGGGTTTTTGTCTGGGTGTGCTGGAACAGATATAAACCCAGTGCCTGAGCCACCCTATATAAATATATATACAGTTGTACCTCGGGTTAAGAACTTAAGAGAGCCAGTGTGATGTAGTGGTTAAGAGCGGTAGACTCATAATCTGGTGAACCGGGTTCGCGTCTCCGCTCCTCCACATGCAGCTGCTGGGTGACCTTGGGCTAGTCACACTTCTCTGAAGTCTCTCAGCCCCACTCACCTCACAGAGTGTTTGCTGTGGGGGAGGAAGGGAAAGGAGAATGTTAGCCGCTTTGAGACTCCTTAGGGTAGTGATAAAGCGGGATATCAAATCCAAACTCCTCCTCCTCCTCCCCTTCTTCTTCTTCTTCTTCTTCTTCTTCTTCTTCTTCTTCTTCATTCGTTCTGGAGGTCTGTTCCTAACCTAAAACTGCTCTTAACCTGAAGCACCACTATAGCTAATGGGGCCTCCTGCTGCCGCTGCTGCATGATTTCTGTTCTCATCCTGAAGCAAAGTTCTTAACCCAAGGTAATATTTCTGGGTTAGCGGAGTCTAACCTGAAGCGTATGTAACCTGAAGTGTATGTAACTCGAGGTACCACTGTATAATCAATAAAATTGTGGCCATTTCTAATTCATATCATTGTCTGCTTGAGTTTATTAATCACATCTTACATTTAGCCACTGTCCAGGGAAGTGGGGTGGCACTGTGACTGGGCCAGCAATAAATTAACTAACCAACTTCATGGTGAGTTCCCCCTCCTTTCTCCAGAAAAAAAAGCACTGGGAAAGGGTATGACATATCTGTCATTCAAAACTAAAAAACCTTAGGCCTTATCTTAACGATGTACAGAAGGGCAATATTTGTAGCTCCGACAGGCTACTGGCACAGACAAAATGGTGACTTCTAACTTGAAAGCTAAGTCACCAGCTGAACAGAATGCAAACAGTTACTTCAGAGATACAAAATGCTAGGAAATGAAACTTGGGTTATGGAGCTAACATGTGCTGGCAAGGATTAGGTGTTCCGAGCATGAGAAATTTAAAAACCAAGCTAAACTTGACAAGGGGGTCAGTTACGTGGGGATATCTGAAGAGAAAGATCTTGTTACTACTAAAGCAAATGGAAACCCCATCCATTGCTTTGGACGCACGGAGACACTTTTTTGGACGTTAGTCCAAGGCCTAACGAAGCCAACAAAAAAACCTTCAGAAAGGTCCCTTAAGGTTAGTGGATCCATGGCATCCTGTTTATAGCCCAAGGCAAACTCTTCTTGTTGTATGCAATACATGGATATTTGATGGCCCAGATTTGAAGTTAATTAAACACACATATACAAAGTAAATGACCCACAACACTTAAGTAAGTGACCCGCAGAACTTTTGTCAAGCTTTTCTATGTCTGTTTGTCAGAGCCTGATGGATGACAAGCAACCAATTAAGAGTTAAAAAATGATGGCTTGCATTTTGTAATGCAACGTGGGAGTTTGTTTTAGAAATCAAGTATGAGGGAAATAGATTAGGTGAACCAATGCACAAAGGATGTGCTAAAGGAATCAGTCTACATGTAACACGAGAATTGTGTGTGTGTGTGTGTGTGTGTGTGTGTGTGTAATGGGACTATATTTCATTCAGTATTTTTTTAAAAAAATCAGCAACCACCAATGAAGCAAATGCATCTAGTATTTTAAAGGGAGACCATTCTGAACCAAGCATTACAAGAAAAAGTTCCAATTCTGGATGGACTTGTTGACCAAACTTCCAAAACTTCACCACTTACCATAGCAATGATAGATGACACAAGCATAACTGGCCAAAGAAAAATGATGTATGTTCTCGCACCGCCCCACTTTAAAACACTGCTTTCTATTATTGTATTTCTAATAAGTCAATAACTTACCTTCTCTAGAAACCCTAACATCTGCCAAAATATTTGCCCCAAGGCTAGGCTGCAGTTGAGGCCATTTCCAAATCAGAGACTTCACAACACAAACTTTTCATGATTTACCCTTTCATTTCATTGCGTTTGGAGAAGATGAAACAAAAACAAAAGCTACCCAGTTTTTACCCTGTTTACGTAGAGGAGCAAGCAGACTCGTACCCACACATGCAGACAAGCAGAACACATATTTAGGACTTTGACGAGCCTTTCCTTGCCTACTAAACACATGGTCCTTCTGGAGTAGCTATCACTAGTGATTAAATATATACATATACCCTGCAAGTATACAAAAACAAAAAAAAGTTCACAATCCCCAAAGGAGATGGAGATGGGGCTCCATGACTTTTTTAACAGCTCAGTTGAAAGACCATCAACTTTTGGCTGCTGTTCTTCTCCTTGAAATATTACAGTCCCTGCCGATCATTTACAAGGACTCTTATACATGAAACAGTGGCTGAATTTGCTTCTCCTCCTCTTCCCTCCCAACTCCCTTTTCTTTTGTGTCGTGTCTTTTACATTGTTAAGCTTGAGAGTTGGGACATTTGGAAGATATTCCTGCAGCCTTTTTTGGTTGTAGAACGAGATATAAAAATGCTTTACAATAAGTAATAATAATGTACACTTATTAGTTAATCAAGTTTTTGTTCTACAGGAATGTATAATATCTATGGACTTCTGGAAATACCCAAATTCCGAATTTTATAGCAATCAACACATCTCGGGTTCTTTGTGTGCTGAATTTCAACTTCCCGAGAGACGTGCATACAGTAACCATTTGGGGATAACACTTTGAGTGTACTGTTATGAGTGAGAGGTATATACAAGGGATTCATTTTTCTGTCAGTCAGGTAGCCAAAGAAAACCACTTGGGTCTAGTTTATTGGGATTTACTCTTAACAAGTTCAGTGCTACTGTCAGTCAGCGAGTGGGATTCAGTCATATGCATGGAGAAATTAATTTAAAATAAAATTAAAAACCCTCCCTATCTTAAGGTAAAGGGACCCCTGACCATTAGTCGTGACTGACTCTGGGATTGTGGCGCTCATCTCGCTTTATTGGCCAAGGGAGCCGGTGTACAGCTTCTGGGTCATGTGGCCAGAATGACTAAGCCGCTTTTGACGAATCAGAGCAGCGCATGCAAACGCCGTTTACCTTCCCGCTGGAGCAGTACCTATTTATCTACTTGCATTTTGACGTGCTTTTGAACTGCTAGGTTGGCAGGACCTCCCTATCTATCCAATTGTAAAATGTGTAAATATTTATTATTTATTCGTTTAATAAATTTATACATCGCTTGAATGTCAAAAATCTCAAAGCAGTTTACAAAAAGATAAAAACATTATTTGTCTAGTGTTGCAGCTAACGTGGAAACTGCAGGGTGATATTCTGCTGAACAGCAATACACAGAGCTGAACAACCTGCCCCACAGACACTCATAACATCCGAGCAAATCCTTTCCCAAAGAAAGCTTAAAATTTTGGTTGCCATCCATCTGTGAAAGGAAAAACGGAAACAACGAATGGTAAAATAAACTACAATTGACAGGCTGATTCTGAACATGCATTATTAAAAGGAATATACAATTCCTTAATGTCCTCCCTCTGAGAATTTCTTAGGAAAAATAAAATACGATAAACACTTGGTTTATACAAGGGGTAGGCAGACTAAGGCCCAGGGGCCGGATCTGGCCCAATTGCCTTCTAAATCTGGCCCACAGACGGTCCGGGAATCTGCGTGTTTTTACATGAGTAGAATGTGTCCTTTTATTTAAAATGCATCTCTGGGTTATTTGTGGGGCTTGCCTAGTATTTTTACATGAGTAGAATGTGTGCTTTTATTTAAAACACATCTCTAGGTTATTTGTGGGGCATAGGAATTTGTTCATTTCCCCCCAAAAAATATAGTCCGGCCCACATGATCTGGACAGTGGATTGGCCTACGGTTGAAAAAGGTTGCTGACCCCTGATTTATACTCAAAATATGTCTGAGTACCACAAGAGGAGACAAAAAAAGGGATCAGACTGTATAGAAGATGGGGAGTAAACAAGGCATTTATAGGAGTTAGAATGTGTCAAATAACCAGGGGTAACCAGGTCTATGGATAGGAAAAGAAGACCACAAGTTTAATGATGCATGTCTTTGGTATGTAATGAAAGCTACACGTCTCGATTTTTCTAGTTACTGGTTAAGGTCCTCTTTGGATGGTATGAAAGAGGAAAAAACCAGGAGGCACAACAGGACTTCACCATTTTGACTCATGGATCTTCAATTGTGTACTGGGGTTTCCAGTGGAACATCAAACCTCTGGAATCCAAGGAGCCACCTATGCTCATGAAAGTGAGTAGCCTAAATACTTCGTTTGCCAAGGAACTGCTAACTTCAGGGCTAAGTCACTGCACATGACAAAAAAACCCCTGCCCTCTCTCTCTCTTTATTCACCATGACTCTCCTGGAGCAAGTCACAGACAAGGGTGGTGATGGTGAAACAGCCAGAAGACAAATTCAAAACATGGAATGGCTTTGTAAACGTTGTACACACTGTAAATGCTTGTTGGTTTTAAGAGAATGCCGAAGAATTCCAATTGGCAAGATTTTTATTTAAAGATTTTATTCAACATTATTAATGACAAGTGTTAAATACAAAGCACACAACATTCAATCTAGCATCCCTGATGCAGCTCGTTGTGATTAGGCTCCATGATTTCACCCATTTACAAATAAGTTACAAAAAAAATATTAAAACACAAATTTTCTGAAAATATTAAATTTAAAACAAAATCTGTAAAAAATATAGGGCTTGATCCAGCGGAAAGAAGGCACGCGCCCGCTCACAAGGAGGAGCTGAATAAGGCTCAAGAGAACCAGAGTGTAAGGCGGGACAGGGAAGCACTGAAAGGAATGAGAAACCCATGTGCACCTCCCTTATCCACAGCCTAGCCCTTCCAAGGTGCATCAATGGGCAACAGAGATGGCACACACAATTCTCTCATTCTCTGCAATATCTGCATGTACACCTGGGAGGGGAAGGGCAAGGACAGGTAAACAGGGCTCCCTATGGCATTTGGCCAACACGCAACTGGATCAAGCCAAATATTTGTAATTAATAATTTTTTGTTGCATATTTAAGAGCAAGTAGTTAAGACAAAAAGGGCAAGGCCGCTTGAATGTGCTTTAATTCATGGTCACATAATTAGCAGGGAAAATGCCAGTCCTGCCTTGCAAACTTCCTTCCCACCAATCAAACTGTGAATCTGTTTTCGTCGTGATCTTGATCCTATCGCCCGCGTTGAAAGTCAAGTCGCCTGGCTGCTGTCCTTCAAACGGATATAGCGCTGTAACGAATGTAGGACTGGTGGCCTTTGAGTTTCCTAAGAAACAGAAGAAGTAGAAGAAGACGACAGTTCAGGACCTGGGTTGCATCTTGAACAATAAATTTCATGGAGTGCTGAAGTCCAGCTTGCCTTGACAAGTGAGCCGCCACAAAGTACAACATAAATCACCCCAAACCACTCCAAGACTGGAGACCAAATCCTGTTACAAGTTAAACAGGAAGTCAAGCGTTTTCATGCATGATTCTACTCCAAGCCTTCTGGTCCGACTTCACTGTATAAAGGACGGTCTACTCAGCGTGTGTAATATGTTGGAGATTGGAGCAATTGAGGGGAGGGGGAAAAGGGGAATGTGGCACAGAGTAAGATATGGGGGAAGGTCTACACAGATACTACTATGTTGGTTAGAGGTACACATCCAAGATCTGTTGAGTTTCGTAAAATTCCAATACATATTGCATAAGACACAGATACAGTTTACAGAGATGGAGAGAGATAAAGTGTTTAGAGGCCATGGAATGTGATAGGCAACCAATCCATAACTGGCTATCTAAACAACAACTACAAGAGGAAGGCGGCCCATTTGCTTCATTCCCTTCTTGTATTTGGCTGGCTACTTCTGGGCAAGATGGACCTTTGGTCTGAACCAACACTATAAGGCTCTTCTTGCATTCTCAAGATCTAGCAACATTTGTCTAACAAAATACTTCCTGTGAACAAAATATTCAAGGCACCTGCTATTGGCAGACTCAACATCTAAAAGAGGAAAATGTTGGCGTTGAATGGTTTGGGCAGTTCCTACTTGTGTTGCAGGCAAAAGGGGCTAAACAGTAAGGGGGGGGAACCACACTGAAGCACTAGAAAGTTGAAATCTAAAGTCCTGCAGGAACTTAGATCTGAGCTATCTACCAGCTCAAGCATAACCAAAATATTTTTTAATTGGTGTGCAAGTAAGCTGCAAGGTTTTCTTCACAGCTTGCAGGAGAGAAGATATTTAACCCATTTCGCTCATACGAGAGCTTACACACACTTTACCTTACAGTTGAGGAAGCCAGAGTGAACGCAAAAACTAAATAAAATACTGCAAACTTACAGGGCAAATTAGCCAAAAAATTGTGCACCTTCAATTCCAAACTAGAGTTGGTAAACCTATAGCTGGTTGTGTGTGGCATCTGTTTATATTTAAGAAATTTACAAAAGCAGCATCTCTGGACAACTCTTGTTGGCAGCATTCCAGCCTTTTGAAAATACACAACAGCGATTTGTTTGCCTTTAGAGTATTTTAAGGAAGGTTTGTGGGAAACAAGGCCATGTAGTTGTTACGTAAGTTGTTACACTGCAACTGTATTTCAAAAAGACTTAAAAAATGCTCAATCTACACAAGATGGTGCTACAGTGCTACATTCAAATGACGAAAACGCTATTGAGCCCTGTTCATCTGTTAATAGCAACCCGTAGACCAAACATCTGATGATAATCTTGTCTTGTGTTTTTGTTATGCTATATCCATGTAGAATGGAGGAAGATGTTTGCTACTGAGAAAGTTCCTGTGAGCTGGGGGGTGGGAAGGCCTTCAACACATCTAGCAAATTTTTATCTTGGGAAACTGGCCAAGGTGCTTGCTCAAGAATGGCTAATCCGTTCAACATTAAGGCACTTGTAGCTTAGTTTTATAGGAGCAGGAAGCTCAGCAGATCAGCTTGTTGTGTTATGTGGCAATCCTAAATGACTGTTGTTCTGTTTGCTGCCTTGGGCACTTTGTGGAAAAAGCCAATTCCTGGGCTTGGATCCATACGAAAAAACCCTGCTGAAAGATGCCAAGGTCCAGCACTCTCTTTTCACAGTGAGCAACCACACCAATGTGAGCATTAAAGCTGTTGAGAAGGGGGGGGGGGACCATCTGAGTTCACATTCCTTATGCAGTGGGAGCCAAGGCAGAGAGAGAATTTCCCATGCAACCAGGAACCATGACTGTGCAGGTTCTCAACTGTGCCCGTTAGACACGCAGGGGCGGAGCTGGGGAAACTGTGTGGTGCGTTTGTGTGCAGGCACACAGGCTTCCTTGCATCCATGTATGTGCAAGTGTGTGAGAAAGGGGGGGGGCGACAGCTGTACTATCCCACAGGTATTCATGGATACCCCTTCATGAAACAACACAGGGGAAAGTTTTCATATTTTACTTCACTTCCATCAAGGGTGGAGATAGTTACCAGATTTTTGCAACTATTGCTGAATTCTCAGAGAGCCCTGCACTTACAAAACAGAGAGCTACCCAGAGCTTTAAAGGCCCACTGTTTCCTGAGAAAGATGCGTACACCCCATCATTTGCTTGCCCATCACTCTTGTAGATTACTCTTTTAATGCAGCTCTGCAGTAGGGCAAGATTGCTCATGACTTACGGAGAAGCATTGCAGAGAAGGGGTACGGTTGCGAAAGAAGCATCCGTGGAAAGGCATCTATTAAGGGAGAGAGCTCAAAGCACCAACATTGCCGGTCCTGAGAGATCTGCATTGGCTCCCAGTACGTTTCCGAGCACAATTCAAAGTGTTGGTGCTGACCTTTAAAGCCCTAAACGGCCTCGGTCCTGTATACCTGAAGGAGCGTCTCCACCCCCATCGTTCAGCCTGGACACTGAGATCCAGCGCCGAGGGCCTTCTGGCGGTTCCTTCATTGCGAGAAGCGAGGTTACAGGGTACCAGACAGAGGGCCTTCTCGGTAGTCGCGCCTGCCCTGTGGAACGCCCTCCCTTCAGATGTGAAGGAAATAAGCAGCTATCCTATCTTTAAAAGACATCTGAAGGCAGCCCTGTTTAAGGAAGTTTTTAATATTTAATGCTGTACTGTTTTTAACACTTGATTGGGAGCCGCCCAGAGTGGCTGGGGAAACTCAGCCAGATGGGTGGGGTATAAATAAATTATTATTATTATTATTAACCCATTCCATCGTTTCTATTAAGGAGACATGCCTATATTTTTGTGGCTTGCTCTGCACGATGGGTTGGCTCAGTCGAACAAATCTTCAAGTGTTTACGCCGAAATGATTGTGAGAGTCAAGAACTAGAAGTGAGAGGTGCCGTTTCTCTATCCATTATTACTCATTCAGCTTTGGTAAGAACGCTTTGCCTCTGTTTCAAGCATTGCAACGTTATTTAGGGAAAACAGTGTTCTGAGGCTCCTAGGCACGCCACAGACGTTTTCCTGCGCCACATGCCACACTACAACAAATGCTGATAAAGCCTGCTTAGGTTGAGAAGTGACCTATAGTAAACCCAAAACATAAGCTTTGTCAAAGACCACATTACTCTCCCTTTACCCTCTTACGAAACAGATGTTGGGAGAGAGGTTTAAACGGCCAGCAACGGTGACCTGGCAACTCCATGGCTATTAATCCAATTCATATACAAAAGTATCATTTTTTTATTGCTGTCTGTACTGGGAAAGTCTTACAGCGTCTGCCATAACCGATCTGTCATAATCTCTAATCACGCTTCCCCCTTCGTCAGAGGGCCGGGGGGAAGGTTGTAGGGGTGGTAATATAATGCTCAGGTCATCTCCCACAGGATATTCGCTCCACAATAATAGCCTGCAACAAGGAGCTATTAGACCAACTCTCCCAGATTGCAAAAGTTTGCTTATGGGCAGTTAATTATCCACCACTCTGTTAGATACCAAGGTATGGAATCAAGTTTTGAAACTAAAATTAGGGTTGTTTCTCAAAAAGGCAGAGGAAGAAAACGAAGACATTAGGGGAGATGGATGTTTTTTGCACCATTTGTCAAGGCAGTGTGATCTGCCATGCATCTGACCCGAGTCTGCTTTTCAGTGGCACATTTCATATCCACATCAGGAGATCCACTGGCTTTCTACTTTGGTAGCATGATTCATTTGGTTAAGAAGCTAGCCCTATAAAACCAGGTTCTCTCTGTTACTACGACATGTGCTGTTTAAAATCCATGTGCCTATTATAGCCTGGAGAAACTGAATACAACAGGATTTTGTATAGATTGATTCTTCTTACAAGTTCTTTCCAAAAAGCAAAATGAATTATATGCCTTTGTTCCTTGCCTCAAGCCTGGGGTGCTATTGGATGGAGAAGGCTTAACTACTTCTTTTTTTAATTCAGCCTTTAATTACTGCCAAAAAACCTCCATTGTACACTAAATATTATTTGTTTCCTCTGTAGAAATGGCAGAGTTGCCATGTTAAGGATACTAAAAAGGTAGACGCTCTTAGTGGCTGCCTATTACTCAAGTTAGTTTTTAACAAAATGGCATTGACCCAAAACACACATAAAACAAAGACCTCAATTTTCTAGTCCTAGCATGCACTGACCTCAATCTTTATGTGCCTTTGTAATCAGCTGGCTCAGCAGCAGGAGATGGAGTCCCCCCCCCCATACAACCAGAATTCCACATAGTATTCTCTCTCTCTCTCTCTCTCTCTCTCTCTCTCTATTTTTACTCGTTTCATGACAGTATAAGCCTAAAAAAGAAGTTTGATTTAAAATGATGGCACAAAAGTGCCAGAAATAATATTATAATAGCAGAGCAATTTCAAAAATAGGAATTGTTTCCTGGGATTTCCTGTTTAATGATGAGCATTAAGACAGTTTATAACAACAGAGGGAGGTAAGCTGCTAGATGGATGTTTATTTTAGATGGAAGTAAGCTACAAGCCTGACTAGAGAAAGAGAACCACAAAAATAGGACTATGCTGCCTTAAACCTTTTAAAAGGGAGAGAGAATTCACTCTAATGTTTCCAAAGTCTCGTACGTCACCGTGGCTTACGAATTTACAGAAACACATTATTCTCTTGCTTAAAGATCTGTTCATACAAATATCCATTAGTTAACCCTGATCTCATTTGCTGCTTTTTACAGTTTATAATCTGCTAAAGGTTTCTCTGTAGAGACCATTACACACTGCAACTCAGCCTAGGCTCTTGCTGCCATTGCAGACATCTCCCTTCCCTGCTTAAAAAGAAAAAATACTTCAAGTCTTGCTTTAGTCTTGAGCTAACAACCAGCCATAAGACATGCAAACGGTTTACATGCACACTCAATATTATTTCTGTTACCAAAGAAATAGTCGAATATTCATTTCACTACTAAGCGGTGCTATCTCACCATCTACAATAATCTCTTCTGAAGTCCTTTGAGAAAACAATCAATGGTTACAATTTTCTTGCTATGTGCAGCAAAGCATTGCAATGCAGTCTTATCCATGTTTACTCATAAGTGGGCCCCATGGTGTTCAGTGGTTCTTAATTCCTAGTATACGTGCATGTATGACTGCAGCCCAAATAGCAAATTCCATGCTAGGGACCATGAGGAAAGTAACTGAAAAGCTGATGTCGTATACAAATCTATAGTGCAATCGCCTTCGGAATACAGTTCTGGTTGCCTCAACTCAAAAAGGTTATAGACTGTTAAGAAAGTTTCAGGAAAAGGCAACGAAAAATTTAAAAGGAAAGGGGGTGGAGCAACTCCTGTATGAGGAAAGATTGCAGCATTTGGCTTTTTAAAAAATAAGTCAGAGGCGACGTGATAGAAATTTATAAAAAATTATGCACGGCATGAAGAAAGCAAATGGAGAAGAGTTTTCTCTCGCTCTTTCATAGCACTGGAACTCATGAACACCAACGAAGCTGAAAGTTGAAAGATTAAAGGACAGTTTAAAAAGTACTTTTTTTGCGCAGTGTGCAGTCAAACTATGGAACTCGGTCCCTTGGGAAAGAAGTGATGGCCGCCATTTTGGATGGCTTAAAAAGAGGATCAGTTAAAGGCTATCAATGGTTACTAGCCACAATAGTTAAGTTGCGCCTTCACTGCTAAGAGGCAGTATGTCTCTGAATACCAGTCGCTGGGAATTGCAGGTGGACAGAGTGCTGCTGTGCTAGTACCCTGCTTGTGGTCATCCCATGGGCATCTGGTGTGAGAACAGGATGAGCCATTGGCTTGCTTCAGCAGACTCTTCTTGTTCTTATGTTTTAGGACAAACTACTACATTACCAGATGCAGGTGCCGCTGTGGGTTAAACCACAGAGCCTAGGGCTTGCTGATCAGAAGGTCGGCAGTTCGAATCCCCGCGACAGGGTGAGCTCCCGTTGCTTGGTCCCTGCTCCTGCCAACCTAGCAGTTCGAAAGCACGTCAAAGTGGTAAATAGGTACCGCTCCGGTGGGAAGGTAAACGGCGTTTCCGTGCGCTGCTCTGGTTCGCCAGAAGCGGCTTAGTCATGCTGGCCACATGACCCGGAAGCTGTACGCCAGCTCCCTTGGCCAATAAAGTGAGATGAGCGCAGCAACCCCAGAGTCGGTCACGACTGGACCCAATGGTTAGGGGTCCCCTTTAGCCTTACGACATTACCATTGCAGTGTTCCATGTGGTGAAGTCCTGTTTTGCATCAGGAATGTATAGACATTCAGGAACTAGCCTTGCACATACATGCACATACAGCCATTCCTCACTCAGATCTGCAAAAGTGGAGATAATCTCCCTTGGAGCGTTAACACTAATGGGATAATGTTCAAGTGTCTTCCTAACAAGTACTAGCAAGAACCGTGATTTCTTAATTTGGTGTGGCATGATGGGTGATCTAACAAAACCCAGTGCAAAGAATTTATCTTTTTTTGGATGCAGGACCTTTCAATGACAAGAAATGAACACAACATTGCATTAGCCTGGTCATTGGATCTGGTCTACAAATCTTGTAAGCTTTATTCAGCCATGTTAGGTACATTGTAAATAAATCTCTCTCTAAACATCTGAACCAAAATAAAGAGAGATGGAAACTTGTGCATACTTTCAAGGGGGAGGCTGGAATAAGAACAGAGTAGTGGCCCAACTTGGATTGTTAAGTATCAAGATTCAGTCTTGTCAAGAGATTTTGTGAATTCTCAAATGCTACTTTGACACTGATGATGAATGATAATATTATAATATCAACACTCACCCACTGCGGCAGAATAGCTGGGAAGTTCAGGGTAAAGTCTACCTGGTGTTCTTACAGCTGCAGAGGAATTCAGAATATATTTTATTAGTTAATATGCCCACTTAATATCTTCTTTAATAGTCTCAGTTTGATTACCATGAAGCGATAATTGCTTTTCCAGATATGACAGTCCTAATTAAGCAGATCAAGAGAGACCAAATAATGACCCCCCAAAAAAATTAATACAGTGGTACCTCAGGTTACATACGCTTCAGGTTACATACGCTTCAGGTTACAGACTCCACTAACCCAGAAATAGTGCTTCAGGTTAAGAACTTTGCTTCAGGATAAGAACAGAAATCGTGCTCCGGCGGTGCAGCGGCAGCAGGAGGCCCCATTAGCTAAAGTGGTGCTTCAGGTTAAGAACAGTTTCAGGTTAAGAACAGACCTCCGGAACAAATTAAGTACTTAACCCGAGGTACCACTGTAATACTGAAAACAACAAACTGTTTTGTTTCCAAGACAATATGTACATATATCAAAGCAGATGCGGTAGGTGTAAGGGGAAAAAAAAAATGCCTCTTCTGTGCTTACCAACTGCAGGGTTTTTGCAAGGATTTGTATTAAAGTTATTTCAAACAACACCTGAGTAAAACTGATGGCAGCTTCTAAAAATCAATTTCAAATAACCCAGCTGATCCACCAGCTAAGGCTACAATAATATCCTCACCTACCTGGATACAAGTATCAGTGAAGCTACTGAGACTTACCATATTTTTCTGTGTATAACATGCCCCCGTGTATAAGACCACCCCAATTTTTGGGGACCCAAAATTAAGGAAATGGGGGGAGATTGCCCAGAGTTGTTGAGCTTTCTTTGGGGGGGTTGCTGACAATCGCTCACCCACTGACCACCGCCGCCAAGCACACGCCTCACCAAAGCCACCAATTGTCTGCCCGCTCACCACCAGCAGGCACCAATTGCCCGCAAAATTGCCACAGCAGCAGCCAATCACTACCACGCCTTGCTGCAGTCACAAATCATCAATTTGCAGCAGCAGCAAATTACCACCACGCCTTGCCAAAGCCAACAATCACCCAACCAATCGCCACTGACAATCTCCTGCTCGTGGCTGTCAACAATCAGATGTCCCACCTCTGCACTATCCATGTATAAGAAGACCCCCAATTTTTAACGTTTTTCTAGAATATAAAAAGCTCGTCTTATACATGGAAAAATATGCTTATGGACTATATGGAATTGGCGGAAATGACTGGTAGAATCCGTGACCAGGGAGAAGAGTTGATGGAGGAAGATTGGAAGAAATTCAAAGACTATCTTCAGAAACACTGCAAAATTAAGGAACGTTAGAGTGATGTTGGACTGAAAACAAGTGGTTTCCAGCTGTACAGGTTAAAGTTAATGATAGATTAAGATTAAAGATTAAGATTAAAGATGTTTAAAGAAATGGAAATTTGATATTAAGAGGGAAAATTTTAACGGTATATGATATTAAGACCAAGGATTAGGTTTAAAGAAGTTGAAGTTATATATTTTAATATCTTATCAAACTAAAGATTGGGATTAAAAAAGTGGAAAAGAAACTGCTGGACAAACAATTTGGATTGGAATACAAAGAGGGAGGTATGAGGAAGTCCAGAAAATAAGTAACTTAAAAATGGAAATGGAAAAGAGATATTGTTTTTAATTGTTATGTTTTTTGTTTTTTTTATTGCTGAATTTTGTGTTGTTTTTTTGTGTGTGTTGCTGTTATATGTATTGTGTATGTTTTTTCCCCCTCTTTCTTTGTTGTTTAAAACCTTAATAAAAATTATTTTAAAAAATATATATATATATATACATGGAAAAATATGGTATCTCTGAGAAGACCTTCGTAAGATCAGGGTTGAAGTGCCAGTGTTCAGCAGCGTGGCCCTTTCCCCTATATATGACCCTTTGTATACAGCAATGCCTCCCCAACCCACTCCCTCCTTGAAGTAAACAAGGAATGCACCATGGACAGAAGAGCTCTGTAGGTACAGGTGGCAGGTGATGCAACAATGTGACAAACCAAGAACAAGGCAAAATCCTACATATACAAGACTTACGCACATACACGGAATCACCCCCCCCCCATCTCATGCCGGCAGTCAAGAAACTTACCAATTTATGGAGAAAAACAGAACTCAGGGCACATAAAATTAGAATGTGGTTTTTTTTTGAGGGGGGGGTTACTGCAAAAAGAGGAAGCTGATAGTTATACAATACCTTCCGGTGTGGTTTGCACCGGAGTCCTGCGTGATTGTTGCTTCGACGGTTGCTCATTAACCTGGCAGGGGAGGGGGAAGAGAGATGTCAGTATTTTTTACCTTCTGTTATAAGTGCAAGAAACTCAAAGGTTGTGAGTGTGTGTGTGTGTGTGTGTGTGTGTGTATACACACACACACACACACACACACACACACAACCCTTCCATGTTGACTGAAAAACTCATATGCCGAGACATTCGGCTCAACGCAGTGCCGTATTTGTTGTGCGTTGCTCTTCAAATGCCCACACCTGGCTGGAAAAGTGGTCCTGAACTGTGCTATTGCCCCTTGCATGTGAAGAAACCACCAGCTTGCATGTGGCTGGAATGCAGGATACTGTGCCATAGCAAGAATCGTCTCCATTGCCCCCACCGCCACACTTTGTGCCTTTAGGCCCTCCCCCCGCGCCCCCCACTATTGCAAGGGCAAGGGCGTCTTGTTCTTGGCTCTTCAGAAACACAGTGGTACTTCAGGTTACAGACGCTTCAGTTTACAGACTCCACTAACCCAGAAATAGTACCTCGGGTTAAGAACTTTGCTTCAGGATGAGAACAGAAATTGCGTGGCGGCAGCGGGAGGCCCCATTAGCTAAAGTGGTGCTTCAGGTTAAGAACAGTTTCAGGTTAAGAATGAACCTCCAGAACGAATTAAGTTCTTAACCCGAGGTGCCACTGTAGAGCCAAGCAGAATTCGCATGAGCCTGCCCCACACCTTCTTGGGTTCCCTTGTTACTGCCATCCAGCTTCTCCCCTCCTGAGTTTCATATTGCAGAGTGAAAGACTCGAGGATGTCGTAGAGGTCCTGCGCCAGAGGAGGAGGAGGGATGTCACCGTACAAAATAGCACTAGCACGGATCTCCCGACCGTAGAACCTGGGGAAAGATGTGTTTCATGTTTAGTCTGCTAGGCGGAGAAGAGGGATTTCATGCAGTACCCTCACCAGGGGTAGGCAACTGTCTTGAAGTTGAGGACTGCCTACTAGCAGTAAAGGTAAGGGACCCCTGACCATTAGGTCCGGTCGTGGCCGACTCTGGGTTTGCGGCGCTCATCTCACTTTATTTGCCGAGGGAGCCAGCGTACAGCTTCCGGGTCATGTGGCCAGCATGACTAAGCCGCTTCTGGTGAACCAGAGCAGCACACGGAAACACCGTTTACCTTCCCGCCGGAGCGGTACCCATTTATCTACTTGCACTTTGACGTGCTTTCGAACTGCTAGGTTGGCAGGAGCAGGGACCAAGCAACGGAAGCTCACCCCGTCGCGGGGATTTGAACCCCCGACCTTCTGATCGGCAAGTCCTAGGCTCTGTGGTTTAACCCATAGCGCCACCTGCGTCCCCTACTAGCAGTAGCTGAGGCCAAAGCCAAAAGTGGGTGGGACATTCATTTCCCACCCCCAACCCATTTATTCTCTTTTTCACAGACACAGAACCACCCCACCCCACCCATCCTTCTACACACAAGCACATCTACTACACCCATCTATTATTAATTATTATTATTATTATTAATTCAATTTATATAACGCTCTTTTATCAGAAGATCCGAGGGCACTGCACAACATTTAAAACACATTACAGAAAATCAGTGATAAAAACCTAATAGAAACACAGTCAAAAACATACTGACAGACAGCCTAATAATAAAACAGTCATCATAATAACAGTCCACTCCTCCACACTTTCACAGGCCATAGATAATTACAATAGCCATAGGGTAAAAACATATGTTTTTGCCTGGCGCCTAAAGACATGTAGTCATGGCGCCAGGTGAGTCTCTCTGGGGAGAGCATTCCACAATTGGGGAGCCACCACAGAAAAGGCCCATTCTCTAGGTCTCTCTTCCTAGCTCATATAAGCACGCAGAAATGCGTGTCTGCCTCTTCTGCTGTAGGAAAAGGAGTAAGGAGCAGGGGATGCCCTGAACTAGAAAGCCATAGGCTGCTATCTCTATGCTCAGTTTTTATCTCTATGCTCTGAAGACAATGTGTGCTTGATTCTCTTGCTAGCAGACTGAGTGTGAAACATCCTTGCCTGACTTCCTATGTTCTACAATGTGTACTATGTTCTTTCTTCATTTACAGCAGGCTGTTACTCCAAAGAGATTACGGGAGAGTCCACAGTTCCTCCTCCCTCTATTTTATCCTCACAAAGACCTTGTGTGGTAGGTTAGAGAGAGATCATGACCCACCCAAGATTAGGGCGAGCTCCCTGGACGGGTGGGAATTTGAACATGGGTCTGTCCTGTCTTAATCAGACACTCTAGCCACTAGAACTCCAATTATATTATTTCATAAATGTATACCCTGCCCTTTGAAGGAGCTAAATTTTGAGAAGAACAATCTCAGCTGCCCAGCTACTTACTTGCCGTTCGTCTCCTTCCTTTCAATTAGGCAGCTTCCTTCTAAAGACACCCCAGCGAACAGCCCTCGAGATTTGCAGTACGTATAGACAGCAGCAGAGCTTCTCAAGGCAACGTCACCTTCGAGATTTCTAAGTGGGAGGAAAAAGCAGAGGGTTGGATCCAGCTCAGGAGTCTCATCAGCCCGGTGTGAGGACTTGCGCTTGTGCAACAGGGCTTTCCCTCCTCTTCGGGGTGGGGTTGGGGCAGGAAAATCCCCAAGGACCTTATGGATCCTCACCGCGGGATCACATTCACCCAGTGCTATACCAGCTGCACTGGCTCCTGGTGGAGTACAGGATCAGGTTTAAGATGATGGTTTTAACCTTCAAAGCCCTATACGGCCTAGGACCCTCGTACCTACGGGACCGCCTCTCCTGGTATGTCCCACGGAGGACCTTACGGACTTCAAATAAAAACATCTTGGAGGTCCCGGGGCACAGAGAGGTTAGGCTGGCCTCAACCAGAGCCAGGGATTTTTCGGCTGTGGTTCCGATCTGGTGGAACGCTGTCACAAGAGACTAGGGCCCTGCGGGACTTGACATCTTTCCGCAGGGCGTGCACGACAGAGCTGTTCCACCAGGCCTTTGGCCAGGGCACAGTCTCACCCGCTCCTTTGGTGATCCTCGTAGAACTCTGGCCCAGTGGTTGCCATTTGATTTTGAATTGATTTTAGAATGCTGTGTTACTTTTATTGCTGCTAGCCGCTCTGAGCCCGGCTCTGGCTGGGGAGGGCGGGATATAATTATTATTATTAATTATTATTATTAGGGCGGAGCTGGAAGGGAGAGAGAGGCAACTGTTCTGTCTGCCAAGCTAAAATGATTGCTCCGATGGAACAATTGCCTTAGTGCAACACAGAATTCCTCTTATAGCCACAGAATCATAGACTTGGGAGAGTTGGAAGGGACCATGTGAGTAATCTAGTCCAACTCCCTGCAAAGCAAGAATCTTTTTGCCCAACATGGGGCTCAAACCCACGACCCTGAGGCTGAGAGGCTCATCTTCTATTTGAGCTATCTCATCTCATGATCTGTTCTCAGCTTGTGATACGTTTCCACATTTCACCACTACTCGAGTTCGTGTGTGTGTGTGTGTGTGTTTGCATTTCCACATTTCCCCCCTTTTGAATAAGGCTGGCAGAACAGTGTGGTGAACTGCCAGTGGTGCCCCACTCCTTGGTGGTAATAGTAAGTAAGCTACTCTATATAAGAATAAACCATTACAAACCCAATTGTGTATAAAGATAATAAACCGGATTACTTGTATATAGACAAATGTGGATGTTTCCAACAGAGATCTTCACCCTAGGCTAAAGTCCTGTCCAGCCCACAGTGTACACTGTTGCAACGAGGAAACCTTATGCTGCAAGCTGCTTGCACCCACGTAGTGCTATTAAGAATTTTTAGGGATTCTGCAAAACAGTGCAATCCCCATGAAACAACTCTTGCTAAACAGAGTGCGTGTCCCCTCTCCTTGCTTAGGAGCCAGGGAAGAAAGACTTGAAGGATCTCCAGCTGTTTTGGGACTACAACTCCCATCATCCCTAAACTAGCAGGCCCAGTGGTCAGGGATGATGGGAACTGTAGTCCCCAAAACAGCCGGAGACCCAGGTTTGGGAAACTCCACCCTAGAGAAAGTGTGCCCATGTATCCCTTTGAATTCTCTTTTTTTTTTGGAACTAAAGGGAGAGAAAGGAAGTGTAAATCAGAGACATGAGTCACATAAGTGGGTGGAAAGCAACCATCTACAGGATCTGGCCCAAAGGCTTCCTTGCACAGCACCCATTATTGTCAGGAGCGCTTACTGCTGTTCCTGACGTGCTGGTGTTTTGTGTTAACTGTCTTGGAGAAAAGCCCTGCTAAAATCTTCCTGCCCACTCTGCCAGTAGGCGGTCTCCAGAGACTGGTTTTGATACGAGGAAACAAACATTCAGACAGCCAACTCCTCAAGGCACCGTGAACTAGAACAAGTCCCTGGAGGCTCTCCCTCCACTCCACTCTCATTGGAGGATCAATAACACCGTTTTCAGCTTACTGAAGATAAATAAAGCTGTACGGTAACAGCTTTTGAGAGCTCAGAATCCTTTAGCATTTGAGTGACACTCACCTCCCCAAAGGCCCAATTGCGACTGTAAAATTTCCTCCCAGAGTAAGATTGCCACCTTTTGCAAAAGCTTCAACAGCTCTCTCGTGGTTCAGTATTACCACAAGGTCTGACACCTGGAGAAAGAAAATTAAAAAGCAGAATGTTGAATCTATTTCCAGAAGGAAAGAACTCAAATTGTTTCGTTTGCCTACAAGCAGGATAGCATAGAAAAAGAGGCCATATCGAAAGACTACTTTCGTGAAAACAAGCTGAACCAACAAATCTAGTAATCCCAGTGAATGTTTATCCTGGAGAACAAGAACTGAAGGTAGCTACCATATTTTTCACTCCATAAGACGCACTTTTTTCCTCCTAAAAAGTAAGGGGAAATGTGAGTGTGTCTTATGGAGTGAATGGCGCTGCGCAGAGAGGGAGAGCTGCGCAGTGCCCCTTCAGCGAAGCGGGAGGAGGAACAGAAGGGGCTCCGCAGCAATCACGCTTGCTGTCCTGGCTTCTGCCTTAGCCCTGCGCAGCCTCTTCCGGGCAGGGGGAGCCTTCACCCCGCTGCCCTGAAGAGGCTTGGCGTGGCTATCCCAGAAGCCAGAACAGCCAGAGGCTATCCCAGAAGCCAGATCCCTCTTGCTGTTCTGGCTTCTGGGATTCAGAATATTTTTTCCCTTGTTTTCCTCCTCCCAAAACTAGGTGCGCCTTATGGTCTGGTGCGTCTTATGGAGCGAAAAATATTGTATTTATTTGTCTGACCAGGGCACACTGAAGGAGGTGGAAGGACACACACAGCCTGCAAGTTGCCCATCACCCCATTGGTGGATTTTTGTTTTAAATAGGCAACTGTTTAATACACTCTTGCATGTGTACACAGGGCACCACAGTCACCCTCTTCCGAGCTATCCAAACAGATCAGCTCATGAGTGGGGAGTTATTGCCCAGCCACTGCTCATCAAATGATCAAGCTGGGTATACTCCACCCCTTCTTCTTCTTTTTTGCTGCTGCAAAAACCAGTGGGATCTGGAAAAGTTGCTTTCAAGTCATGCTCAAGCCCCCAAACTTGGGTGTGGGTTAACCACACTTGAGCTACTATACATAAGTTTTTTGGGTTTTTTAAAAGTGCTCTTTCCCTCATTTAGCTTGATAAACCCCTTGATCATATGGGAGACTGAAGGGAGTTAAGTAGCTGTCATCTCAGAAGGAGCAGAAAATGTAAACAAGCCCTTAGGAAAGAACTGGAATACAGATGTTCGTTCTGAAAGCATCCCTTTGTCACCTTGACTCGCCTTGGCACAACCAGAACTGAATTGAGTGCACTGTTTTCAAACAATGCCTAAGAAATGTAGCATTTATTTGAGTGAAGGGAAGCAACCAGGGTGACTTGCTATAGAATGAAAGAAAATTAGGATGTAATCATTTTTGGGTGGGGAGCAGGGGCGGAGGAAGGAGGCTGCAGTAACGGCGGGCTGCCCTGGGTGTCACTACTGAGGGGGGTGACAAAATGTCGGGCGGCACTCACCATGGGGCCTGCAGAGCGCCCAAGCCACGCGTCTCTCCTGGGAGTGATGAGGTGGCTTGGGCGCCCGCAGGCTCTGCTTTGCTCCAAACAATCCGCCCACAGCATCCTCCTCACCTGTAGGGCAGCTGAGTGGGAGGAGGCAGGCAGACTCCTCAGAGACCTCGCAAAGCGTCCTACCCTGGCTGGCCCCGCCCTGCAGGCAGCTAGCCCTGCCCCTGGGCACAGGGCACGCGCGCTGCCCCAGGCGCCAAATTGGCTTGCTGCACCGTGGGGGGGGGGGGGGAGAACATTAGGCTGAGAAAACTCTCCACACAAGCTTCTTGACATTTCATAATTTCATGTTACTGGGGAGGGTGACAATACAGACCACGATCATTGGGCCAGTCCTGGGTGAAGTGTAACTGGAGGTCCAAGTGACAATTGTTTTGCCCTAGTTATGCCTGCTGTACAACACAGGTAGCTGCATTGCTCCCAACTCATAGACAAGTAGGTGGGAGGAAGGAAGCTGGCTTTCCAGTTTGACTTCTGCAACTGCACCCTCAAATGGCAGCTGCTTCCAACTTCCTTCCAAGTTGAAGTAGCTTTCAACAGAATGGGCAGCTGCAAGAATAGATCAGCTACTACACCAACCATATCACCAGGGTTTTGTTTAGATTTCTTTTGGCAAGCGACAACGGGCGGTATTCACCGCTAGTACTATTCAGAGTGGACCCATTGAAGTTAGTGGACATGACTAACTTAGGTTCACTGAAGTTAGTGGACTTCGGTTCATTATTTTCAACAGGTCTACTCCAAGTAGGATTTAGCTGCAGTTGTTTTTTTTTTACCTGCTTGGGCAAGAACTGGTTGGCAGTCAACAAAGCACGCACAGAAGAGATCAAGGTTATACAACACTCACTGGCAGCATCTCAGGGCTCTGTAGCCATGCCAGTTATCCATCATCAGGAGTGGGCAGTGCTTTACTTACTTTACAGAAAAGCAAACAAATTGCATGCTTCCTCTTCAAGTTTCCTCTCTGGACATAATTCTCAAGGAAAAGCATTATAGTTGTGCTTTAGTTTGGCAAATGAATGTACCAAGCAAGCTCTTTTTTGTCTTCCATCACTAACACTTGAAAGACATAGGATGGGATACAAAACTTGTAACCTGGGGATTATCAGCACCATGCTCTAACCAATGGAGCTAATTAGGCTACAGCTCCAATCATTCCTAAGCACTGGCTATTCTAGCTGAAACTGAAGGGAGTTGCAAATCCAACATCATCTGGAAGTGCAAGGGTTCTCCATTCCTGACTACAACAGAGCCTCTTGAAGTCTAGCTACCATAAAGAAATACAGTCATACCTTGGAAGTCGAACGGAATCTGTTCCGAAAGTCTGATTAAAACGTTCAGAAACCAAAGCGTGGCTTCTGATTAGCTGCAGGACGTTTGGTTTCCAAAAACAGTTTGCAAACCAGAACAGTCACTTCCAGGGGTGCGGCATCCGGGAGGCAAAATGTTCGAGACCTAGGCTGTTTGAAAACCAAGGTACGACTGTATCATAAATGTGAATGCAAATATGAATGCTTTAAAAAAAGCTGTCACCCAATATAAAGAAAATCTTATTGAACCATACAGTCATACCTCTTCTTGCGAACACTTCATGTTGTGTTTTTTCGGGTTAAGAACATGGCAAACCCAGAAGTGTTTACTTCCGGGTTTCGCCATGCACACACTGAAACGTTCTGTGAAGTTTGTGCATGCACAGAAGTGCTCTATCGCACTTCGCACATGTGCAGAAGCGCCGCTCTGGTTACGGACTTTTCGGGGTGCTAACGGCACCCCGGAACGGATCATGTCCTCAACCAAAGGTACCACTGTATATGAGTTTTAGTCAATCACGTACCAAATCTGCCTAAGTTTGCATGCAAGAGGAAAAAAATAGTCCTACAGGAGGAAGACATGCTCTCTGTGTTACTGTGTGATAAATAGAACTGCTGCAGCAGGCACTGTCGTAAAAGAGAACCATTCTGCCCCTTTCCACACACAGGATCCTCATCTGTAATTTTTACTACGTATATCATCATAATTTAAAAACTCTGCCCAATTAACTAGAGACATGGTTTTAGGAGTCAATCAAAATGTGTGTGCGTGTTTTCTAACCAACTAACTAAACGTTGCAGCGTTAACTTACCTCGATTCCGATTTCAAATCCGCCACCAAGGCCAGCTATCCCGATGGCAGACGGAGCTGACCAGACTAGAAGAGAAACAGAAACACATGGTGAACACGTGGCGCATTTTACTGTAGAACTGAACAAGATAGGCAGGTGCAACAGGGAAAGAGGATGCCGCTGCATTAGACTCTCGTATTTGAAGTTCATTTGCAAATAATCCAATGCCATTCTGCAATGCTTTATTCACAAAGAAAAAGAACTTCGAAGGAAATCGCTTCATACAGTTCAGGCATTTCTACAACGCTGAATTTTTTGTTCCAATGCTGACTTGCAAATGAAAGACTACACGTTCAAACAAAATATGTATGTAATACAATACAATACAAATCCGTTTATTGTGAGGACCATGCCTGTACACAAACATTAACACAACAATAGTTAAAAGATATTAAAATTCATTACATACTACGCCAACAAAACCTTCGTCCCACAAAATAGAAAGAGAGGGAAAACGAGCAACGAGTTAAACAGACGATGAAGGGGTCTCTACATTGTCATCCCTAAGTCTTTCCCTGGCTTTCATGGCCTTCATCACAAAAACCGCTACCACATGGGTAATACGTGGGTTTGCATCAACTAACAAAAATTTTACTCTATCTTCAGGATTGGTTATAGAGTTGGGTATAATTTGCAGCAATGCGTCTCTAAAGCTCGAGTAGATGGGGCAATAGAGGAGGTAATGTGTAAGATCCTCTTTAATTTTCATAAGGCAAGGGCATAAACGATGTTCTACTGGGGTTTTTGTGAATCTACCGGTCAGATATGCAGTTGGCAGTGTTTGAAACCGTGCCATAGTGAAAGCTCTCCGAAGGGTGGGGTCAGTGATCTCCACCAAGTAGTTGGCACAGATTTTGACTGCTTTTACTCGGGAAACCAGTAGGAAAACCCAGAGTTTTTTATCTTTGTGGAGTCCAAAAGGCGTCTTTTTCAAAGATCCATTCCCGAACTTTATCAGGGCTCCACAATTTAAGGGTATTAAACTCAGGTAGATTGTATCTGGATAGGATATCTAGTAGGTTTTTATGCCAAGTAGTATTATTTTGTAATAATACAAAGGCTTGTTTAGCCAATAAGGTGTTCGGGGCATCTGTGAGGTTGGTGAAAAAACGCAGGAATCTTAAGTGGGCCCTGGCAGACACAGAAGGTAATCCTACTTCCACTCTTAGGAGAGCTGCCGGAGTACTCTGAGGGAGGCCTAGAATTCTTCTGTATGTAATACAATACGTAGGTCATTTTGAAAAGCATGATACAAATGTCTATGTCAAAGTTTGCCGAGGAAAGTTGGAAGCTGTTCTTCAAAATGTTTTATTTTGCTCCCAGTTTTGAATCTCATGCACAGCTGTAGAAACTACAAAATCCAGACAGTTTTGGTAAAATTTAGAAGGCTCGAGTAAGGCAAGTCACATCATGTGCTACATACACCACTGAAACATAAACAAGCCACAAACTATTGTTTGGGAATCATAACAGGAACTAAATTCCTTTCAAACCCTCCATTAGCTTCTGCCAGCCACTAATTGTCAGACTATCTGCCGTGTCAATAGAAGGAAGTGTGGCAAGTCAAGAGACGCTACTGTCTCATTATCTAATGTCCTATTATTCTTCATAAAATGTGTCCATGCTGGTTTTTGCGACTGACGTCCTGTGTTTATGTCTTAGGGGCTGGCCACTGAGAGAATGGGATGCAGGACTCAGGCCTGCCCCAAGACATTTTGGCACCTGGTAAAGGGTAAAGAGACCCCTAACCATTAGGTCCAGTCGTGACTGACTCTGGGGTTGCGGCGCTCATCTCGCTTTATTGGCAGAGGGAGCCGGTGTACAGCTTCCGGGTCATGTGGCCAGCATGACTAAGCCGCTTCTGGCGAACCAAAGCAGTGCACCTTCCCGCCGGAGTGGTACCTATTTATCTACTTGCACTTTGATGTGCTTTCGAACTGCTAGGTTGGCAGGAGCAGGGACTGAGCAATGGGAGCTCACCCCGTAGCGGGGATTCGAACCGCGACCTTCTGATCAGCAAGTCCTGGGCTCTGTGGGCCACAAAACAGCACCCTCCACCAGGGAAGAAGGGGTGAGTGAAGATCTACCCATCAAGAGCGAGGAGAGGAATAAAGATCTAAATTGGGAACAAGGGTGGGAGGAGACCAGCAGCCTCTCCTATTCACCAAGAGGCCGTTGCAGAGGTGGCATTTGGGCTGCCAATGACAGAGCAGATCTGGCCTCAAAGGAGAGCACCACAGATATTGCTGCAACTGCGGCAACAGGTGATGCATTCCTATTCCCCTTGGGCATCCTGCCTCCTGAGGCGATTGCCTCGCCTTGCCTCATGGGCAGGCCAGCCCTAGCTGGACTAGATGAGCCATTGGTTGGATCCAGTAGGAACTTCTTATGTTCTTAAGGCAGTTCCAAGGATGTCACAAGGCATCTATTACAGGAAGAGGGAACTTGTAGCCCCTCTAGATGTTGTTAGATTACAACTCCTATCCTCTCTCACCACAGCTTATGTGACCTGGGAACCGAAGCCTATCATCTGGAGAGCCACAGAGGTAAATATACTTCTTCTAAAAGAAACATGGAGCTGCTCATTTTTAGTCATTGGAACTAACCGAACAGGACTCTCATGTACAGGAATGCTCCCATTATGTAATCCGCAGTGTTTTCAAAACAGCAAACTGCAAGCTGCTTTTTATGACCAAGTATAAACTCAAGACAAAGGGAACATTTGTTTGCGAGCTATTCTTCGGAGATTACGGAAGCGCTCAGTGCCTGCCAGCAAAAGGACACAGATATGTGCCTTTGAAACATGCCTCCACCAGCAAGACAATTCTGTCTCAGTTTTAGGATTTTTGTTTTCAACGAGAGCCTTCACACAAACTGATTTGCTGGAGGATTCCTTGTGTGAATGGGTGTCAAGGTGCTTGCTGACCAGAGAAGCCTTTTCCAACCTGGTGCCCGTACTATGTTGCTAAGGCTACAGCTCCCACTATCCCTGACAATTGGCCAAGAGGGCTAAACAGATAGAATCATAGAGCTGGAATGGACCACAAGGGTCATCTACCGTATTTTTCACACCATAGGACGCACCGGACAATAGGACGCACTTTGTTTTAGAGGGGGGAGAACAAGAAAAAAAATTTTTTCCCCTCTCTGCCCAGCGCCCCTTCAGTGAAGCAGCAGGAGGCGCTGCACAGAGAGGGGGAGAACTTTCCCCCTCTTGTTTTCCCACTCTAAAACAAGGTGCCGTTTAAGGTGCGTTCAGGCGGCTACCTTGGAAGCCTGGAGAGCGAGAGGGTCGGTGTGCACTGACCCTCTCGCTCTCCAGGCTTCAGGTTCCTTCGACCTGCTCTTTGGGGCTGGCGGGGAAGCCCACCACCAGCCCCAAAGAGCAGGTCAGGAGCCGCAGACTGGCGCTGTGGAGAGGCTCCTGCAATCGCCGCGCGTCACTCCTCCCGCCGGGAGTGGGTCGCAGGGCTATGGCTTCTTTAGCCCCGCGCGCGCTCTCCCGGCTGCAGAAGTGACGCGGGGCTGTAGAGGCTCCTGCCATAGCCGCGCGTCACCTCTCTAGCTGGGAGAGGGTCGCGGGGGGCTGCTTTAGCCCCATGCGCGCTCTCCCGGCTGGAGAGGTGACGCGGGGCTGTAGAGGCTCCTGCCATAGCCGCGCGTCACCTCTCCAGCCGGGAGAGGGTCGCGGGGCTATGGCATCTTCGCTCCATAGGATGCACACACATTTCCCCTTCATTTTTGAAGGGGAAAAAGTGCGTCCTATCGAGCGAAAAATACGGTAGTCCAACCCCCTGTACTGCAGGGATATTTTGCCCAATGTGGGCATTGAACTTGACCCTGAAATTAAGAGACACATGCTCTACGAACTGTGCTGATTGGAAGGAGGCAAGTGAGATGTGTGTTAAGGCTCCAGTAATATCTGGAGGGCACCAGGTTGGAAAATCTGGTCTAGGGAATAGCACCCAGTTCTGTACTTTAACTTCACTATTATGCTCCTGGACATCATGAGACTGATTTCTTTTTGTACAACTGAATAAACCCTGATAGAATGATCTAACCTTCTCTGCCTACCCCCTATCTTCTCATTTTTATAATGCATAAATATACTCAGCCAGATAATCAGATGAACAGACACATACTTCAAAGTAGTGAAATTTGTGATGGGGGCCTAAGACTCAACATCCTCTATGTTCAGCTGGGAGGGTAGTTGCCAGATATGCCCAATTCATAATAGCTCACAATTTCATCCCAATGGACATGCAGGCCCTGTTGAAGCTTGAAAAACTCTCGGCATCTCTTTTTGCACGCAGAAGCATTTGGACTGCTTTAAAAGGAGGAAAGGGCAAACTTACTTCCGTTAGGGAGGCGAGCCAGAACGATCCCACTGCCTCCTCGAGCTGTTACCAAAAACCCAGCTTTGATTACAGACAAGACTGCAAGACCTTTTGCTTTGGCAATTACATGGGCTGCAAATAATGAAATTAAACAGTTAGATATTATGGAGGCAAAAGAACCAATACTAGGGTTGCTGTATTTCCAGAGGTAAACATCTAGGCAAAAAAAGAAAAAGTTGTTGAGCCACCAAAAAGAGGACATGTCCAGGATTTCCTGGACATATGGCAACCCTATCCACTCCCAATCAGGGAGGAGAGCTTTTTTTTTATTTTAATTAAGCTGTTATGCAGAGAGACTTGACACTTTGAGGCAATATTTTGCTTTGATACTCTTGATCAAGGAAGTCAATGAAGTCTGAGGGACAGACTTTAGTTTCACGACCAATGGGCAAGTTAGTTTTGAAGCTTGCCCTTCTGTGTGTGATGCTGATTACTAAAAGCAGAGAGGCAGGAAAGGAATAACCAGATTGCCATTTAACTGGCATTTTACGGGGACCAAAACGTTCGAAAACCAAATCAAGGCTTCTGATTGGCTGCAGGAAGCACCGTCGGACGTTCAGGTTCCAAATGAATGTTCGCAAACCGAACAATCACTTCTGGGTTTTGCGGCATTCGGGAGCCAAAACGTCTGAGTTTCAGGTGTTCAGCGTGTGCAAGGTACGACTGTACATTGCAAGTGAATTTGCAGGACATGCCTTGGACCACTGCTTTTTCCTAGACTGCGATACCAGCTTCTTTCTGGGAAACAGTTTATAGAAAGCTGGGATTGCAAAATCTAACAGTTGCTTTAGAAAAGAAAAAATCCGCACACAATCCATTTCATGTTACCAAATGCAGATCCCAGGCCTTTAATCAAGTGAACTCACAAAGACAAGACTAGAGGGGAAACTTAGCTCTAGAAAGAACAAACAAACTGAAGTTGTGATCAACAAGATGAAAAACTCTCTTTTACTAACCAGGTATGATCTTGTCAGGGCCATTTCTAGAAGTGATTTCTGTAAATTCTCTTAAAATCTTAGCTGCCTTCTTTGCTTCCGACTTCAAATTGGAAGGTATAGGGTTATTCACTGAAAAGGAGTAGAAATATAAAGGAGTATTGTAAGCAAAACATGAATATTTCAAAAGGGGGTAAGAAGCATCTGTTAGTTCCAAGAGCTGGTAACATTTGTTGCCTCCCTAACAATCTGGTACAAATGTCTTGCTTAGTAACACCATATAACGCTACCACTATCTCCTCCATTATCAGCATAAAGACATGACTGTGGAGAATCATTCCACAGTACAATTTGCTATTTTTGAATATTGAGCCTATGGAGAAATGACACATTTTTTCACCAGTAGCTCTGAAGCGTGTGTCAAGCTAAATAAAAAATTGATCCAATTTCATTCCACCAATGAGCAACCAAGAGATGCAGCAGGCAACGTTAAAATGCAAATAAGTTCCAGCAAAGGGACTTACTAGCTGATGGCTTTGGAGTGATTATGCCACAGCTGATTCAAGAATGATGACATTGAACGCTACGTGAGTCAGGCATAAGACAGAACAGGAAAACAGGCAGGTTTCTAAAAGAAGCTTGAAGTCTGTAATTAGAATTCTGACTAAGAGTGCTGTGTTGGTTGAATATCTCTGCAAAGTAGAGGCTCTCACTGCATATCAAGATGGTTTAAATAAATAAGGTTCCACTGCAATCTCCATTAGCCCAAGGGGGAAAAAAATCATATTCTTTTGAGTCCTCTTGAAATGCTTTGTAAATACCTGTCCTTCATTGCTGTCACAAGAATAAAAATGTAAACCATGATGCCTATGGAGCACAAAACCTATTGTTAGTAGCCAAATTGTTTACATTCCATCCATCCATCCACACTGGACCTAAGTATTATTAAACATTAAGCCACTTAAAAGCATGGGCACTTAGGCTGAGCTATAAAGGTTAAAACATTTTATCTGTATTACTGAGGTGTTAAAAGTTACTGAGGAGCAAAAGTAAATATGTGAATAGCTTAGGTGGCAGAACCATTAGATTTTTTGGCGTAGCCTTGAAATACTTTTCACCTAAGGAACAGTTGCAGAAATTTTATTCATGTAACACAGTGCCATCATTGTGCATTGCGCTTGCAGCATAGGAAAGGACAGGAGAATTTCTTGAGGAGCTTACAATCTAACAAGATACACAGCAGAGAGGCCACGGGGGAAGAATGTGCTATCATGAAGTTGCATGCATTTAAGGCTTAATTTTAGTCTCACTAATGCATGAGCAGATTGCAACAAAGACTTCTCCAAGGTGGCATGTTTTGCAGGAGGGATTTGAAGAGAAAGAGGTGACCTCACAGAGAATAGTTTGTCATCAATACAATGCAAACATCTGTCTTAGTTTTAGTCCTCAAGAGAAGCTAAAAGGAATGACTGATGGTAGCAGGATAATACAGGCAGTGCACATGAGAGCTGGTAAAGATTTTTCAAGTATTAACAGAAGCCCTGTTGAGTATAGGATTGCAGTCACAGAATGTGAAATAGTTGGGGATTTTTAAACTCCTCTGACTTAGATCCAGATGAGAAACTCAAAACACTGCCAGCCCTATACAATGGGGTAATAAATCTATAAACAAACACTGTGTAAGATAACAGAAGGCAAAACTAATCTGCTCATCATTTATCAGGTGAAATATTTCTCAAAATTAATATACAAACAGCTATTAGATACAAGGTCAGCTGTGTCCAAAATAAGGAGCCAGAAAGATAGGAGAGCATGAGATATCAAGAATGGAGAAAACTCCCTCCAATGAAATTGCTCAGTACAACTAAATCTGGAGCAAGGATTGGGTGGAAGATAGTCTTGTGAACGCACTGTGCCAATCAAGTTATCATTTGAGTATCTCTGAGGTCTCCCTTCTTTTGTTCATGAAAACGGAGGGCGTCATTAAGAAGTCTTGCACAAAAACATGAACAGAGCAGTGGAAAGAATTTATATCCCAGCGCAACAAACCTGCCTTGCAAAACTTTCTTATCAGCAATAGAGAGAGAGAGAGAGAGAGAGAGAGAGCGCGCGAGAGCGCACGCCATCAAGATGGTTTGTTGGAAATCTGGCTGCACATGTTTATCAGAGTTTAATTACATTTCCAATTATACTTTCAAACTGTACAACGCCACAATCATAGCACAGTGGTACCTCGGGTTACATATGCTTCAGGTTACATACGCTTCAGGTTACAGACTCCGCTAACCCAGAAATATTACCTCGGGTTAAGAACTTTGCTTCAGGATGAGAACAGAAATCATGAAGCAGCGGCGCAGCGGCAGCAGGAAGCCCCATTAGCTAAAGTGGTGCTTCAGGTTAAGAACAGTTTCAGGTTAAGAACAGACCTCCAGAACGAATTAAGTTCTTGACCCGAGGTACCACTGTACTGAGTAAATACCCGCCTTTTTAAAACATCACATACAAGGTACACAAAAGGCACATGTTTTAATCAGTTGTTATAAGTTCAGTTTTATGTTTGCTATGGGAACGGTGCAACCTTATCATTGGACACACAAAGTGATATATAGAGGCAAAACAGTAATGAAATGCAGCCCTGAATCTCTTTTCAGGCAAGTCCTTAGGGAATCTAACAATCCTACCTACAACTACTCAGAAAAAGTCACATTAAGTTCAGTGGGGCTTGCTCCTAGGTAAGTGGGTATAGGATTTCAGCCCAAATGACAAAACATTATCAGAAGGATTTTATGACTCTCACGGCAAATTACCTTCATATTTGAAACAGCTTGAAATGAGCCTCTAAGTACGCACAGACTGAACTCCCCATCCTCCCCCTAAGCAGGATAATCTTGCTGAATGAAAGCTAAAGGGTAAAATAATATGACAGCAGCTGAGCAGAAGAGGAGAATGAAAATATTTGCTTGAATTTACCTCTTTTAAAGTGGCTGCATACAGATAGAGATATTAGATGACTGCAATATTTTGGAGAAGCAAAACCAAAAAGGAAAGCAATGCTAAGAAGCATGAAACTTTCATGTAATTCAGGCTTTCAGACAATGTATTTGTAGCAGTCAGGTGTCCACATATGCAACAGAGGACAGCTGTGGTCCTAGCTTCTGGTATCTCCAGGTAAACTGGGGGGGGACGGGACTTTCCTGAAACCCTTGACAACTGCTGCTAGGCAGTGTAGGCAATACTGAGTTAGACAAAGCCAAAGGCCTGACTTGGTAAAATACGCTTTCTCTTCTTAAATTGCTTTTTATCGACTTGCTAAACAGTTATCAAGGCGGAATACAGAGCTTGGTAAGTGAGAAAAATATATATCAGCTAAAGACTGCAGTAACTTTTGTTCCAACATAGGCAACAACTAAAGGTGTTGCTCCATAGTGTTGCATGTGATATAACGTATGGAAACAATGATCAACCAATTTTACCAAGCCAATAAAGGCATACCATGCTTTATAGAAAGTGTCTGGGGTTTTCGTTTTGTTTTGGATGCAATGCCCCTTTTGTATATGGTTAGTTTGTCCCTAAGAATGATGTCCCATACTTGTGAGATTCAAGCTTTATATTTATAAATATTTAGAGATACCAATATAAACCAAATATTTAGGTTTATATTTAGAGATTTCCAATGTAGTTTGCTATCACTAATTTAGTTCTGTAAGTGCAAAGAAAGATGCTTATTAGTTATATCTTGGTTCTGTAGAGTAAAATAAGATACCAAAGCCTATTTTGAGTCTTGTTGAATGGACTGCCTAGTATGGATACAAATATTATTTATTAGGTGTAGCTGAAACCATTACAAAACAAAATACACAAAACAAAATAAAATACATTACACAATTATCAATAATTATTATAACCAGGCATTCTGTCAGCTAAGAGTAGATGGTGGTGAGACGGCTTGTTTTGAGCTCTGTGGTTTGTTTTTAAAAATTGCAGTTCCAGCTCTTTTTTGTTAACTGCTTTGAGGTTTTCTTCTACAACCAAGATACAGTATAAATAAATTTTATGAAATAAACAAATAAAATTGCATTGCCTCCCTATTTAAGGGGAAATGAATGCGGAAATACAGCTTTAGCATTATAAAACAGCATACTAACATTTAAAAAGCCCAGGTTGTATGTTTCCTGTGCTGCAGGAAAATGGGAGGTCAGGAAAAACGAGACAAGCACCTCAGAGCAAATCTTTGCATGATACTCCAACTCAAGGTTAGCTTTATCTGAAAACAGATCACAGGCATTTTAGCAAGTAGTGAAGATATAAGTGACCTACTCTGCAGAAAACAAGGACATGAGAAATGTCATATCTGACTGCTTTTAGTTCTCTTAACCTTGCAGGCTGCATATCATACTTTGGGAGGGCAACTGATGCAAGTGTTGCCAATAGGATTTCACATGCAAATCCACTTATTTGTATTCAGAATACACACATTTCAGTTTATTCAATGGAGTCAACATTATTACATTCCCTCTGCTCTCTTAGACTGTGAATTTGAGGGCATATCCTGTCTTCTCAACAAAGTTTGTAAACCACTCTGCAATACTTACTCACTTATTCCATTTGTGCCCTGCTCTTCAGCCAAAAAGCCTCCAAGAGAGGCTTACATTGAAACATTCTGAATTGCAATATCAAAGCCACAGATTTCAGAGAAAAGGAGAGAACATTAGAACATTGACCACAGCTAGACGTGTTGGCTTTTGTAGGTTTATGATGGATACTTAGCATAAACATCCTAACAGCCAAGAACAACAATTACCAAAATTCACCAAGCAACAGTTCTTCACCATCACCCTTCTAGGTCCCGAGGTACATGCAGAGGAAAATAAGTGAGTGCAGGCACAGTGATTTAGAATAGTTCCTTTGGATTGGATTTCCTGGTTACTTTTGACACCATGGCAAACTCTTTTGTCACTGGCAAAAAAAACCCCTGGTCACAGCAGATGATGGAGAAATTCATGACTTTATTGTAGTAGTGATTTAACCCTCCATTAGCTTCTGCTAGCCACTAATTGTCAAACTATCTGCCATGTCAATAGAAGGAAGTGTGGCAAGTGGCGAGACGCTACTTGTCTCATTATCTAATGTCCTATTATTCTTCATAAAATGTGTCCACACTGGTTTTTGTGACCGAGGTCCTGTGTTTATGTCTTAGGGGCTGGCCACTGAGAGAATGGGATGCTGGACTCAGGCCTGTCCCAAGATATTTTGGCACCTGAGCGGGCCACAAAACAGCACCCTCCACCAGGGAAGAAGGGGTGAGTGAAGATCTACCCATCAGGAACGAGGAGAGGAATAAAGATCTACATCAGGAACAAAGGTGGGAGGAGACCAGCAGTCCCTCCTATTCACCAAGAGGCATACAACATAAATGGGGATTTTGGCTAGTTTGCACCTATTCAGTCCAACAACAACAACAACATTATTTGTACCCCACCCATCTAACTGGGAATAAAAATAGGAATATAATAACACACACGTTAATACAACATAAATGGGAATTTTGGCTAGTTTGCACCTATTTAGTATTATGATAATAATAATGTGGTATTTGTACCATGCCCACCTGACCGGGTTTTCTGGACCGCTTCCTGTGTGCATATATATATATATGAGAATATATTCCATATAAATATACCATTACACATCATCTTTTGACTGAACAAGGAACATAAAACAAACATAAAACAAGAACTGGACTCCAAGTCTGTGATTCTAATAGTGACTTACACTGGGGCAGTCCTATTAATTTATCAGTGGACTTGTTTCACTCTTTTTAAATAACGATTTATTATTTATACCCCCCCCCCCCAAATCTGGCTGGGTTTCCCCAGCCACTCTTTTAAAGATCTGCAAGCCCCTCATGTGGGGGGAAAAACTGGACTTAGAAAACTAGACAAGGATGAACTAGGGAAACTTGGGGGAATAAATATGGTAAAGACACATCCCACGTATACTTTCCCCCAAAACTCCAATTCCTCTCTTCCCCACACACCACCCACCTTCCAAATTCCCACCTCCCTCATATCCACACCAAGCAAGCATACTTACTGCTTCCAGGAAGGTACCATCCACACCCACCCCTGGCTTGGGAAAGCCTCGGGAGTATCTACAGCAATGCAGCCAACCACTCGCGACAGAAACTATCCCTGCGTTCCACTCTAAAGACCCCGCCTTGTAAGAGGCAGCAGCAGCAGCAGCTGCTGCTCACCTGGAGCAGGTGCATGGGCGGGCGTGAGGCGCGATAGTCGTCTAAACCACGCGCCTGATTTTCTTTTTTCTGACGTTGGAATCAAAGCCGCGAAATAGAGCTCGGGGGGCGTCAACTCCTGAAAGGGAATTAAAAAAATAAAAATGATTTCAACTTTATTTCGTATCCTTCACATTTCGCCCCCCCCCAACTCAGGCATTATACGAAGACGGCCGTCGGCTGCCGTAAAGCGGGAAGGGCGGCTTTTCGCGACAGTTGCGGGGGCCTCCGAACTGCCTCTTTCGCTGCTCTTTACTGTTGGCGGTTCCTGAAAGAAAGAGGGAGAAAGAGAGAGCATGGCGGCCGGGGAAGCTAAGTCCGTTTTATTCGTTTGCCTGGGTGAGTGGAAAGGGCGGGTGGAGAATGGGGGAGGTAAAGACGCAGCATTTTTTTAAAAAAGAAAAAGAAAAAAGCATGGGATTTCATTATTATGCTTTTCTATGTGTTGGAAACCGCCCAGAGTGGGTAGTTGTAGTAGTGATAATAGTAATAATAACAACAAGAACAACAACAATAAGAAAATAATGATGATGATGATAATAATAATAATAATAATAATAGGAGGTGTTATGCAAGCTAAGAAAAGATGTTCATGGACTTGGAATACAAAAATGTGGTGCACATTCATATTATTTAGTTCTCTATCTTTAAGCTGTCCTGTTTCCTCCCCCAATTACATCAGAAGAGCTGAGCCAGGAGCAGCTAGAAGAGCCACGGCATTCTTACTTGTGAAGAAAGAGATGGGCAGCCAGAGTGGAATCCAGTGTTACCACTAAATCTCTTAAAACTTGTACGTACAAGAGCTGCCAAGAAGCGAGAAACATTTACATTTGGAGTAGGACAGAAGCTCCCATGCTCTCTGTGGTGATGGAAGGAGACTGCTTTACATAACACCCCCTCCACCGCTTATATATAGATATATATATAGATATATATATAGATATATATATAGATATATAAACCACCATGTTAACACTGCTGGTTCACACACACACACACACACACACACACCTTTGCGGCACAGACAGACCCACCCAGCCTAGTAATGGGAATTGGCCTTGGTGAGTTTTGTTTAGTGGTTTCCCACCATCACCTTCACACACACACACACACACACACACACAGCCCAAAGGAGGAGTTGGGAGTTAAGATGCAACTTGGCTGCAGCCTTCTAGAGGGAAGGTGGGAATAGGTCTGGTGAGAGCCTGTGAGGAGCCCCCTCAGCATCAGGCTTAAAACCTTGCTCTGGTGTAGCATCCTGTTCTCACAGTGACCCCCCCCAAAGGAGCCCCCGTGTAAGGTTGCCACCTTTTAAAAATAATTTTTTTATTAAATATTTTCCCCATTTACAAAAGCATGTGCATTGTCTCTTCAGATTGTGTTTTCTACAGATCAGTTACATTTGTTGTGAGACTTTGGTGTTATATGCAGTATAGGGGCTGGGGAGAAAGTGGGGGACGGGAGAGAAGGGGGTGGCGTGGTAAAGCATATGTTCTTTTACTTAGTGTATATGATCTGGCAAAAGGCGGTGCGGTGCCGTCACTTTGGCACTAACTGGTAAAAAACAACCCTGATTACAATCCATTGCAGCCCAACAGGATGGCCTCTTTGGAATTTGTCACACATGCACACACATGCTCACACATACACATGAACTTGTAAATCTCTGTGCTTGGCTATCAGGAGCTTAAATAGATTACCTTTCATGCACCCTTTCAAACTCATGCGTTTGGAGGGGGTCTGTAACTTGGCAGAGAGAGAGAGAGAGAGAGAAGACCTGAAATACAGGACAAATCTATCAATACAGCACTCAACATTTTACACTGAAATGCGGGACAATCCTGTATTATACAGGACAGGTGGCAACCCTACTTTCTGACGATCTCCTGGTTCAGATCTTCCACCTTCCTTTGCGGCACTGGCAGAACTATGTTTATCCTAGTAATGGGAAGGGGCATTGGTGAGTTTAGTGGTTTTCCACCACTACCACCTCCCCTGAGGAATAGCTGAGTTGGGAAGGTAAGATACAACTTGGATACTAGGGCTGGGTGATATCTTGTTTTCAACATCACAATATATCACCAGCTAAATATCACAATATCTTGATATATCACGATATATATCTGCAGTGGCTGAGGGCCTTGCTGCCCCCCCCCCGAGGGCAGAGGGTCCCACCATACGTCGCTGCAGTGGCGGAGAGTGCGTCACACTTTATCGCAGCAGCAGAAAGCCTTGCAGAGGGTACCACCCTACCTCCCTGTATCAGAGGGCCCACGTGTGTGAGGGCTTATCTTCATTTCTTATTGGTTAGGAGGGAGGAGGGAGAGAGAAAACAAAGCTAGAGACACCAGTGCCTGCATATTATGTGCCTGTAAATTATCTGCAAAGTATCGTTCAGCTGAGGAATGGGAAGTTGTTAAGTCTCCACCTTTTATGTCACCGGTACATGTCCTATGTTTACATTGATCTGCAAAATATAAAGCTGGTCAAATATCACTTAGCCTCTGCTTTTGGTTTGTAATAGGAGTAGTGGATATTCTTTACATAGCAGACTATAAGTTACTTAATACTTGAAGAGTAACATGTCTGTGGATCTCTTGTGGTGTACAGTACATGTGAGAAAGAAATGGGAAGAGTAACAACAGAAATGAAGGCTGTATGCTGCTACATTTGCTCAGAAGTACCACTGAATTATGGGGCTTACTCCAAAGTGCATAGCTTTGCTTTAATATTCCTGTTGGTCCCTAGGGCATCACTGGTGTAGGAAGGACTCCATCTACCCCAGTGCTGCCCTGGGGAGCGAAAATAAAGCATCTCTTTATCTTGGCAAAAAATTCTCCCACAGGCATGCTGTCATTATTAGAAGGTCTTAGAGAGAGAAGATCTCTCTCTCCCTCCCTCTCTCTCTCTCTGGTGTGGCATTGTTTTGAGAATGTCCTGTTTCCTAAGTCCCTGGTGCTGACTTTCTAGAAACGGTGCCATGCCAGAGAGAAAGAAAGAAAGAAAGAAAGAAAGGTTCTTTTACAAAGGTAAAAAGAGGTAACATTGGCCCTTCACCCTGTTTCTTAGATTAGTGGACAAGTTGAAACCTCTCCATTTAACCAGTGTAGTCCCTGGGGTTCAACAGTGTCACCTGCTGAGAAAATTATTTAAAGAATAATACTTCTATTTTGATAAGGGAAGCCAAATCATTTGGGGTTTTAGGGGCCACCAGATGTTGATAGGAGCCGATTACAGCTCAGGTTGGCTACTCCTGGTATTCAGTCAAAAAATCCTCTGGAAGAAATGGATGAACCTTTCCCTGATAGCTGGCACTGAAACTACCCTGCAGAGTGAAAGCAGGAGAGGAATTTTATGGAAGCTACAGCCTGCTTATTAAATTGCTGTTACTCTGCCCAGCCTCATTGCTTCTGGGGCAAAAGAAACATGAAATGACTATTTTGAAACATGTATCAATTGGTAAAAATCAAATAGATGCATCTAAACATGGGCCCTGTCCATAGTTGTACAGTCTGGACTATGTTTCAGTGAGGCATGCACAACAATCATTCAGTGGATTATGCCTGATAGATCTCATTCCTTTGCCCACATGTGAAGTAGAAGATGAGATATCACTTTATGAAACCTTTTTGCTTGATTAAATGATGGAGGTGCTGCAGCTGAGAGCAGATGACGTCTCTTAAAATCTCTAAACAAATGATAGTGATACAGTTTTTCTCTGTCTACATTTAGAAATCCTGCTTTTAATCCGGGCTGGTTGCTTTTGGAAACAGTGTTCAACTAGGATTAGACTAGGGTCCGGCAGCATGGTGTGGAGACTGTAGATAGAGCACTCTCTCTCTCTCTCTCTCTCTCTCTCTCTCTCTCTCCTTTAACACTAGGAAGCAGTGTTGGAAACTGAGATATGAAAGCTAGGAGCTAAATGGCACCTTAAACCCAGGTTATGGGTGCAACAGCTGAATGTCTAGGCATACTTTTTTAATAACAAGGAGACAAAGCTGAAAATGAATGAATGCAGCTAAAATATTATTTTCATTTTCCACATGGTCTCGTCCTTCCCCTGCCCAACCCCCTAATATTCTTAAGAGGGTCTCTTCTCCAGTCTTCAGAGAGTAGCTGGAAGTGGGGAGGCAGAAAAAGGTCCTCCTTTCCTTACACTCTGCAGTTTTAATCTGAAATCATGGGTGCAGTACTGCGCCCAGAGCTCAGAAGCTGCTCACGCTAATGAAATTCCCTGTCGCAAAATGCATCTAGAGCAATGGGAGTTTCGAACACTGTTTGGAAGTTGGGTGTTACTCAGTTAAATTGATTGGCAGTAGATTGGATGTAGTTAGAAGACAATACCTATTTGTATGACACATAGTTAACTTAATTTGCTGCCATGATGTGTGGTTTTGGCCATTGGACAGGGATAACTTTAAAAGGAGATCAGACATATTAATGAATGATTGGTTCATCAACAGCTTCAGCCATGACTGGACATGGAAGAGGCATCTAGAGCTGAACTAAAACTCCTGCCTGGCAACAGCAAGAGTTGATGCATCAGTGTGTACACCACTGCATCCACAGCCTCACCACTCACATTGGGGCAACATGAAAAAGTGCCTCTTCACTACACCAGGTCTTAGGCTGAGCCCATGGCCATCAACTGATGACATCACAGCCAGCTGAAGAGCCAGTGAATCCTGCACTGGCACACATTTTGTGAGTTCCTGCTGGCAGTAGCGTCTATCTGCCATTTGAGGATCAGTATTGAAATTTGGCTGTGAACACCCCACCAACCCTCTTTGCTGGTGGGGTTCTCCCTTCTCTGCCTCATCTAGTCCTCTTCCAGCACAGGAGAGCGAAGCTGTTAGTGTATCTCTAAATACCTTACTAGCAGCTGGAGGAGGCAGAATACTGGAGAGGGAAGGTGCTGTCAAGTCCTGCTTATGTGCTTCCTGGGAATATTTGGTTGGCTGCTGTGCGAAAAGGATGCTGGACTAGATAAACACTCTTGATCTAATTGAGATCCGAGGAGATAGTTATTATATGCTTAGTAGCTACGTTAAAAGTTGCACTGTAGACCATTGTCAGCCAGAATGAGAATGTGTGCATGTTGTCATTGGAAGTTGCGTTGAACAGACTGAAACCAAATACAGTGGTACTTCGGGTTACATACGCTTCAGGTTACATACACTTCAGGTTACAGACTCCGCTAACCCAGAAATAGTACCTCGGGTTAAGAACTTTGCTTCAGGATGAGAACAGAAATCGTGCTCCGGTGGTGCGGCAGCAGTGGCCCCATTAGCTAAAGTGGTGCTTCAGGTTAAGAACAGTTTCAGGTTAAGAACGGACCTCCAGAATGAATTAAGTACTTAACCCGAGGTACCACTGTAGTAATCCTACCTTTACTGTTTTAGTATCAGAAGAGGGATTATCCATTAATGACCCCTTCACAATGCAAACACTGAGTCAGGCAACCCCACTTTTATACCCATTATATTGAGGTGCAAGGAGAAGGTTGGCCTGTAGTTCATCTTGGAGCACAATTCTATCTGTGTCTACTCAGGGGAACAAATCATATTAAATACAATATGACTTACTCCCAAGTAAATAACTGCAGGGTTTCAGATGTAAGATTTATTCTGTAGGGAAAGGAGATGGGGCAGAAATGAGTTAATACCTCCCCCATGTAATTTCTTGTATCTCCTTGTTGAGGCCCAGCTTGTATTTTACTAGTATGGAGTTAAGGACTGCATTACAGTGTACTTGTAGCTTGAGTCAAAGCAGGTAGTTGTTACTTAGTGGAAAAGTCTGCAGGTCATAGGCTGTGATTTCACTAGGTGGCTTAGGAACTAGGCTTAAAATCTGGAAATGCTGGTGATTTCAGTGGAATGTGTTGGTGAAATTGTCTTTGGGGGATGTAGAATTCACTCTGTCACAATACATTGTCAGCAATGCTACTGGAAACCAATAAAGCCCATAGAATACTGGTGTGTACTGACTTGCAACAATCCACCTCTGCTAAAAGTTGGTTGCTATTGGTGAACAATAATGGGCTTCTCGCAAGCCAGATGTGGAAGTCAGGAAGTGAACACTGATAAGAAACTGCATAGAAAGGGGAGCAGATGAACTCTGTGGCTTTCTTCAGTACTTCACATGTACCTCCACAGGTTCTGGAATGTTTCACCTTAAGAACACAGGTGTGGGAGATTACATTTTAAAGTCACTGGATTAAATCTTTATTTCCACAGGGAACATTTGCCGCTCTCCCATAGCCGAAGCTGTTTTTAGGAAACTTGTGACTGAGGGAAACATTGAAAACAAGGTAAGTTTTATTTTAGCCGCCAAAGCCGCCATTCTGTTAGCATGATATAAATATTTTGACCTTACCTGCATATCTTAGAAATCTTTCTGTACCAATTTATCAGCATCTCTTTACCAAAGTGCTAAATGGCAGACTGAGAGGCATCCCTTATCAGAATAGGCTCTGTATAGGCTCTCAGGACATCAATTGTATGAGGCATATGCTACTGCATTGCGGACAATATGAGCAAGCTAGGGATCTATTGATTAAACCCTTACTGGCAAATCGGCTGGGTAAATCTGAAACCTAGTATACTAAATATCTTCTGGACAAGTATAATGGTATCACAGTGGCCGTGGCAAAGTTTCTTTCGGTAGTCATACGTATCAAAGATCATCATACTTAAGACCAAACAAATATCATCTCAGTCTCCCTCTGCCGGGGAGTTGTCTGTATGAATCTGCATTTTATTCTAAATCTGTGTTATGGATTTCTGGACCGCAATAAAGATTATTACAGTGGTGCCTCGCAAGACGAAATTAATTCGTTCCGCAAGTTTTTTCTTCTTGCGAGTTTTTCGTCTTGCGATGCACGGTTTCCCATAGGAATGCATTGAAAATCAATTAATGCGTTCCTAGGGAAACCGACTTCAGACCAGGTCCGGGGACAGTCTGTCCCCCGACCTCTTCTGAAGGCTGGGGGGGACAAGGGCTTTTCTTCCACCCCAGCATTTTAAAACCCGGGACAGCGGAGAGCTTCTCCGCTGTCCGGGCGATCTTAAAATGCTGGCGGGCGGCATTTTAAAATTGCCCCGGGACAGCGGAGGACTTCTCCGCTGTCCGGGGCAATTTAAAGCCCCTGGGAAGGCAGGCAGGGGGACAAAGACTTTGCCCCCGCCAGCCTTCAGAAGAGGTCCTGGACCTCTTCTGAAGGTTGGCGGGGCGAAGTCTTTGTCCCCCCACCTGCCTTCAAAAGCTGTCCAGCCAAGGCTTCGCGGACCTCTCCGCAAGCAGCGGCAGCACTGCCGCTGCTTGCGGAGAGTTGCCGGCATGCCGAGCCTGCGCGCGCTGAGATCAGCGCGCCCAGGCTTCGCGGACCTCTCCGCGAGCAGCGGCAGCGCTGCCGCTGCTCGCGGAGAGTTGCCGGCATGCCGAAGCCTGCGCGCGCTGAGATCAGCGCGCCCAGGCTCGCGGACCTCTCCGCGAGCAGCGGCAGCGCTGCCGCTGCTCGCGGAGAGTTGCCGGCATGCCGAAGCCTGCGCGCGCTGAGATCAGCGCGCCCAGGCTTCGCGGACCTCTCCGCGAGCAGCGGCAGCGCTGCCGCTGCTCGCGGAGAGTTGCCGGCATGCCGAAGCCTGGGCGCGCTGAGATCAGCGCGCCCAGGCTCCGCGGACCTCTCCGCGAGCAGCGGCAGCGCTGCCGCTGCTCGCGGAGAGTTGCCGGCATGCCGAAGCCTGGGCGCGCTGAGATCAGCGCGCCCAGGCTCAGCGGACCTCTCCGCGAGCAGCGGCAGCGCTGCCGCTGCTCGCGGAGAGTTGCCGGCATGCCGAAGCCTGGGCGCGCTGAGATCAGCGCGCCCAGGCTCCGCGGACCTCTCCGCGAGCAGCGGCAGCGCTGCCGCTGCTCGCGGAGAGTTGCCGGCATGCCGAGCCTGGGCGCGCTGAGATCAGCGCGCCCAGGCTCCGCGGACCTCTCCGCGAGCAGCGGCAGCGCTGCCGCTGCTCGCGGAGAGTTGCCGGCATGCCGAAGCCTGGGCGCGCTGAGATCAGCGCGCCCAGGCTCCGCGGACCTCTCCGCGAGCAGCGGCAGCGCTGCCGCTGCTCGCGGAGAGTTGCCGGCATGCCGAGCCTGGGCGCGCTGAGATCAGCGCGCCCAGGCTCCGCGGACCTCTCCGCGAGCAGCGGCAGCGCTGCCGCTGCTCGCGGAGAGTTGCCGGCATGCCGAAGCCTGGGCGCGCTGAGATCAGCGCGCCCAGGCTTCGCGGACCTCTCCGCGAGCAGCGGCAGCGCTGCCGCTGCTCGCGGAGAGTTGCCGGCATGCCGAAGCCTGGGCGCGCTGAGATCAGCGCGCCCAGGCTCCGCGGACCTCTCCGCGAGCAGCGGCAGCGCTGCCGCTGCTCGCGGAGAGTTGCCGGCATGCCGAAGCCTGGGCGCGCTGAGATCAGCGCGCCCAGGCTCCGCGGACCTCTCCGCGAGCAGCGGCAGCGCTGCCGCTGCTCGCGGAGAGTTGCCGGCATGCCGAAGCCTGGGCGCGCTGAGATCAGCGCGCCCAGGCTTCGCGGACCTCTCCGCGAGCAGCGGCAGCGCTGCCGCTGCTCGCGGAGAGTTGCCGGCATGCCGAAGCCTGGGCGCGCTGAGATCAGCGCGCCCAGGCTCCGCGGACCTCTCCGCGAGCAGCGGCAGCGCTGCCGCTGCTCGCGGAGAGTTGCCGGCATGCCGAAGCCTGGGCGCGCTGAGATCAGCGCGCCCAGGCTCGCGGACCTCTCCGCGAGCAGCGGCAGCGCTGCCGCTGCTCGCGGAGAGTTGCCGGCATGCCGAGCCTGGGCGCGCTGAGATCAGCGCGCCCAGGCTCGCGGACCTCTCCGCGAGCAGCGGCAGCGCTGCCGCTGCTCGCGGAGAGTTGCCGGCATGCCGAAGCCTGCGCGCGCTGAGATCAGCGCGCCCAGGCTCGCGGACCTCTCCGCGAGCAGCGGCAGCGCTGCCGCTGCTCGCGGAGAGTTGCCGGCATGCCGAAGCCTGCGCGCGCTGAGATCAGCGCGCCCAGGCCTCGCGGACCTCTCCGCGAGCAGCGGCAGCGCTGCCGCTGCTCGCGGAGAGTTGCCGGCATGCCGAGCCTGGGCGCGCTGAGATCAGCGCGCCCAGGCTTCAGCGGATCGGAGATTTCCTATGGGCTTTCGTCTTGCGAAGCAAGCCCATAGGGAAATTCGTTTTGCGAAGCGCCTCCAAAACGGAAAACCCTTTCGTCTAGCGGGTTTTTCGTCTTGCGAGGCGTTCGTCTTGCGGGGCACCACTGTATTATATTTTGACTTGTTTTTCTGTAGTGGAGGATAGACAGTGCAGCAACATCTACGTATGAAGTAGGAAATCCTCCAGATTATCGAGGCCAGAATTGCATGAGGAAACATGGTGTTACCATGAATCATATTGCCAGGCAGGTACTGTACCCATATTGCTTTCAATGTATGTATGCATATGTTCTTGTTGTTCACAGTGGGTGATAGACAGCGGTGCTGTTTCTGACTGGAATGTGGGGCGCTCCCCAGATGCGAGGGCTTTAAGTTGTCTGAGAAATCATGACATTCAGACGGGCCATAAAGCACGACAGGTAGAAAGAGTCTGTTCGTTGTTTTCTGGAAACTATGGGTGGTGCAAAAGTCTTGGTAACTGCTGTAGGTTGGATTGCGTGTGGATTGGCAAAGTATTAAATGTTTAACTACTCAGTGTAGTCGTGGTTAGAGCAGTGGAAATTCTAACAGCATCTGTGTAAAGTGGTTGGATGAAGCCATGTTCCAGAGCCTGTTAACGCTGTTCCCTGAATGAAATTATTTCAGTGGTTAGGGATATTATTATTTTATTTCTTTGCTAGCCAAGGTGAATCACTTGCCATGAACCTAGTTTGCCATTTTGTTGCCCATTCCTCCAGTTTAAAGAGATCCTTTTGAGTCATATTGCATTTGGCTTTTCATAGTACAGTGGTATCTCTGGTTACAGACGCTTCAGGTTACAGACTCCGCTAACCCTGAAATAGTACCTCGGGTTAAGAACTTTGCTTCAGGATGAGAACAGAAATTGTGCCTTGGTGGCAGTGGGAGGCCCCATTAGCTAAAGTGGTACCTCAGGTTAAGAACAGTTTCAGGTTAAGAATGGACCTCCAGAACGAATTAAATTCTTAACCCGAGGTACCACTGTACTAAAGAATTTGGTATTGATTGCAGGCTTGGACTTCTCACCCCTGGCTACAGTTCATTAATAAACAAGTTAAATCACACCAGTCCCAATAGAGACTCACTGTTAGCTTCCCTCCGTTATGAAAACTGTTCCTGGTTCAGACCTTAAGCAACTCTGCTCCAGTAGACAATTGTAGGTTATAAGAGATGGCTAAATGATATTGATTTCAATGTCTCAGTTGTTAAAATAAATGCGCATAATTTATCAAAATTCCTTTAAGGCCTGACCTTCTTTAGATGGATTCATAACTGCAGCATTTCTGTTAGACAAAGGATGTGTCACATGTTCCCTTCTGACTTTTTCTTTCCTTTTGTGAGGTCTTGCTTTAGTTGTTTTCCCCATTTACAGATCTTTTTATTATTGTTCCTTTAGCTTCACTGGTGCCCTTTTTGACCTTAAACTCCCTTTAGTCCATTTCATGTAAAACCCATAGAACTCAGCATAGATGAGAGCCTCTCAACACTCAAACAGTTCTGCCTGCCTTCTGCTTTTTCTTCTGTTTCTCTTGATATCTTGATTCCCCCCCCCCCCAATATTTAAAAGCTTAACAAGGAAAGCTTAACTGGTATAGTTCACATCTGTTGTTTTCAACACATCAAAATGTGCTCTGAATGTTATCACAGTTCAAAAGAAGAACTGATGGCATCTTTGGAAGAGCGCATTGTTGAACAATACTTTTACGTCGTAATCATTACAGCCTTATCCCATAATTTCTGAACAGTGTTTAATTTTTGAGAGATAATATGAACAATAACTTGTGTAAATGTTCCCTGGCCAAATACTAAAACCCTAATTCTTCTGTCTCCAGTTTTATTTTTCTACAATTGATTTCTGAGCTGCTTACTTTGCAGCTGTCAGTTAGCATACATAAATGTTGTTTGGCTTTAGAATTTTAAATATGTATTGCTAACTGCCATCACTGCAACACTGACTTAACCTCATTTTTTTTATTAAGAATTGTTGTGACATGGATCTCTGTTAACAGTGTTTAAACATATTTGTTAAATTCTAGGTTACAAAAGATGATTTCCTGACGTTTGATTATATGCTTTGTATGGATGAAAGTAACTTACGGTAAGTTGTGAAAACTATGTGCTTTTTGCTTATAGATGATGAATAGTTCTGATTATTCTAGCCTAAATGGGTTGTTTGCTACATTTAGTGCCTCCTAATAGACGCTAAAGCCCTTAAAGAGTATTCCCACTACACCCTTCGTCTAAAACATGGGGAGGGAAACAGTTTAAATTCCAGATGTTATTGAACTACCCTCAGCTCTGGCCAGCATGGTCAATGCATAGAGATGATGGGGGTTTAATTCAAACACAGCTGGAGGACCACAGGTTCCCCATTCTGGGTCTAAAGGATGATGATCCCTAGGAATAGTCAGGGAACAGACGGAATAGCATTGTACCTTTTGCATTATAGTAATCTATTCCTCATTTGAGCAAATGATTGCCAGGATTACTCTGCAAGAGGAGAACAGGCTGCTGTATGAAATCTATATTTCTGGTGGATCCAGGTGTTATTTCAAGTCAATGTTCTGAAACTGTTGCATTTATTTCCTGAGCCTCTCATTAGTATTTTTGGCTCCATAGTGTTGGTATTCTATAACTTACATTTATACTTTGGTACAACATTACATAAAAATATGTGTGTTAGATGCTGCGTACTAAATCACATCACACTGTTAAAAGTGTGTGGTTTTTTTCTTTATACACTGTGATTTTTGTTTCCTTTATGCACTGCAAACTCTTAAGGATATCTTGGTGTCAAAGGAAAAAAGAAAGAAAGACATGCCACACTTAATGACAAAAAGTTGCCTAAACTTTTGTCTTGTAGAGATCTGAAAAGAAAAAGCAATAGTGTTCAAAACTGCAAATCTCAGATTGAGCTGCTTGGGAGCTATGATCCACAAAAGCAGCTTATTATTGAAGATCCGTACTATGTAAGTATTCAATTCTATTAGTCCTTTTTAACTCAAAATCAGTGTTGTAGCAATCAGTGTTGTAATAAAGAAATCTGTTTAACTTAAATTGGTTCATTTTATTTTTTGTCTCTGCTTCTTTCTATAGGGGACTGATGAAGATTTTGAAACTGTTTATCAACAGTGCCTTAGATGTTGTAAAGCATTTTTGGAGAAACCTCATTAATGGGGCAAGTGTTTGTGAAAGCAAATAATATTTAGCTGTTCTGTAAAATTATTCTCAATTGATATTAAATTGTAAAGATTCTAAAAATAAGTCCTTTTTTTAGCATACTTAATTTCATGATGTGCACTGCACCTTGTACTTGAGAAATGGTAGGCTTATAAAATTAATATTGACCTTGATCAAGCATCTATATAAAGGGGAAAGCATCCAGTACTGACAAAATAAATGTGTGTGATTCTTGGTATACATATTCCACATAGTATGTAAAATAATTCCTGTATACATACTCTAAATATGATACACCTATGCTGTTTTCCATTGCTACTTGTATGTATGGTACTTTTTAATCTTAAACATCTTTCTTAGAAGTATTTTTTGGATGTATTGTCACATGATTAAGAACTGAAGACTTAACAAAACAGTCTCTTTTTACTTTTTCCATTATTTGTGATTTGAAAGAGAGAGAGAGACTTACAGCCATATAGAGTTGAGCTGTATGAATTTCACAAGTCTGCATAACCACAGAATAAGTTCGTTGTGTGGTCTCTTGATGCATAGTACAGTCTCCTAGAGTCTTGGTCTCTCTTTTTTTCCCTATTTATTAAAACAAAATCTAGCCTTTAGTAGCTGCTGAGATGATGCTTGAAAGAGGATAAATACAGCCTTGTGAAGTCTTGGAGCAGTGTGCATGGCACAAAGTGTTCTTTGCAGATCATGTGTACTAACGGAAGCCGAGTAAATTAATTAAATATGCTTCACTTGCCCTAACATATACAACCTACAACCGTGTTAATTTCCACACAACAGAATTTCGGCATTACCTTCTTTTTAATCATAAGTATACACAGCCCTGCTTTTGAATTATGGTGCTGGAGGAGACTCTTGAGAGTCCCATGGACTGCAAGAAGATCAAACCTATCCATGCTTAAGGAAATCAGCCCTGAGTGCTCACTGGAAGGACAGATCGTGAAGCTGAGGCTCCAATACTTTGGCCACCTCATGAGAATAGAAGACACCCTGGAAAAGACCCTGATGGTGGGAAAGATGGAGGGCACAAGGAGAAGGGGACGAGATGGTTGGACAGTGCTCTCGAAGCTACCAGCATGAGTTTGACCAAACTGCGGGAGGCAGTGGAAGACAGGAGTGCCTGGCGTGCTCTGGTCCATGGGGTCACAAAGAGTTGGGCACGACTAAACAACAACAACAACATACACAGCCCTGGCTATAGATGAGAAATGTCTGAAGAGAAGAGTTAAAAGGCCAGTAATTGCCTCATTGAGAACTAGGACTGCTCTCTTCTGCTTCATGGGCATTCCCTTACAGGTCTATAAGCGAGATTTCCTTTTGACATTTTCATTTAACATTATCATGGTAATCATAATCATTATAATTTTATAATTTTACACCGCCCATCTGGCTGGGTTTCCCCAGCCACTGGTAAACATTCTGTAGATCATAACCACATTCGCCACTTTTTAAAAAGTGATATATGTTTAGTGCCTACACCCTCCTGTCTCTTATAGCTGTGATGCCTTTCCTGAATATCCTCATGCTGGAACTTCTATGTGCCTCCATCATGTTTTTCTTTCCCATCATATCAAACACATCCTCCTTGGTGGTTTGCTTTCAAGTCGCTTCACCAGTTATGGATACTCCTCGGAGCTTCTCTTCCTAAATTGTTTAAAGGATGCTTTTAATACTCTTCTCCCATCTTCTTTCTTGTAAATAAGCTGTCTTTCATGACTGTGCCAGTTCGAAAGCATGCCAGTGCAAGTAGATAAATAGGTACCACTTCGGCGGGAAGGTAAATGGTGTTTCCGTGCGCTCTGGCACTCGTCACAGTCCTCCGTGCGCCAGTAGCGGTTTAGTCATGCTGGCCATATGACCCGGACAACTGTCTGTGGACAAACGCCAGCTCCCTCGGCCTGAAAGCGAGATGAGTGCCACAACCCCATAGTCGCCTTTGACTGGACTTAACCATCCATGGGACCTTTACCTTTACCTTCTTATCACCTCTTTGAGGTTCAGTTCCTCACGATGCAGAGCAGTACAAGAGAGCACATGGGTAGAATCCTTTTATGAGGTGCCATACTTTTCCCTGAGTTGATTGCAACTTGGCTTAGAAGAGCTAGATAGACCATGAAAAGATAACTAAATCCTTGATCCCAGCCTATTCCTTAAAATGTCTGGGCATGATGACAATACGTGACTCCTGAGTTGGCATTGCTTAGCTTCTCTTGCCCCACCTCCCTTTCTTGGAAAAGCATTTCATTATTGCTGCTTCAAAACTGAGCCAAAGAAAAGCTTCTGCTACCCAGAAGCAAGCAGCAAAATCCATAGCGTGTCACAAATGTGCTTTACTGCTTCTAGTAAAGGACACTACTGAGTGCAAAACTCCTCCGGGTAATAAATAACTCAACATATAACATAAAGCACATGCTGAAGGGCGTTGACATGAATAAATGTCTATTTGTAAATAGTTGGATGTGTGAGCTATTCCTGGTCTACTGCTTGGTGTCAAGCCCTGCAGTGTAATAATGCATGGGAGGCTGTCTTATCTTTTAAACAGCCAATTATAAAAAATGTTTGCCAAGATCTTTATCTTCCCACTTAGCAGAATTAATAAATACAAGCTGCAGACAAGAAAATAGGAAGTTGTCATAATAATTCCTTTGGCTGAGTGTTGCTATAAACAGTGGTTATTGGAGTATTTTGCACTGTGTGTACACATTAAGACATTAACATTTCCCCTCCCGCCTACTGCGTCTCATGTCCCAAGCACATTTGCAATATTTATTTATTAGTTTATCTTATTTATTAGATTTATATACCACCCGCCATCATAAGATTTCAGGGCTGTTCGTGAGATTAAAACGCAAATAAATAGTTAGAAACAGCAAAACAATACCCCCTCCCACAGACACATTTAAAAGGCTGTGGAATATTAAACAGCCAAAGGCCTGATTGAAGAGGAATGTTTCTTTCGCCTGGCACTTAAAGATATATAAAGAAGGTGCCAGACAAACCTCCCTGGGGAGAGCATTCCACAAACAGGGAACCACTGCAGAAAAGGCCAGTTCTCATGTTGCCACCCTCTGGACCTCATGTGGAGAAGGCACATCCTGTTGATGCTGCTGGACTGGCATGTTGTGTTCCTGGTTAAGGACTAGCATGGGCAGGGAGGTTTAATGGTGCTACTAGATAATACTACATGTTTACTGAGTGTTGAGGGCAAACTTTCTTTGAAGCATCTGGATTCAGGTAGGTAGCCATATTGGTCTGACGCAGTCAAAATAAATAAAAAAATTGTCCAGTACCTACCCCCCCTTTAAAGCAGGAATAGTGGTCTTCGAAATTAGATCCATATTTTGGGTACCTTTCCCATTTCAACCCTGCTGGATTTAAAATGCACCCAGAGCTGAATTTCATTGCATGCAAAACTCCATAGCTATTGATTTAAAATGTCATAGGAAATTCAGAGGCAAATAGCTGTAATTTATTTTTATAGGCTATGCTCAAGTGCTGCTAGGAATATATTTTTGTTTTAATAAAAATGCTAACTTTTATTCCTGTTTACAGCCGTACTAAAATTAACTGTCATACCAATTGACTTGAAAATACAAGAGCAAATAAAATAGGGAAAAGATCAGCTTAGCTGTATTGATCCTTGTAATGTTTTCATTGCCTTAGTTTCATAATGTAGCAAATTACTTTGAGTACACTTGGGTTTTTTTAAAAAACCTGCGTGAAATACAAGTGGCCATCTGAATCTCCAATCCTGATACACATGGAACACTTTTCTGTGGTTGCTTTCAAACTTCCATTTAAAGGAAAAACCTTCAGGTGTTGCAGGTATATGGAAATGAATGTTTCATATTCACGGGACCCCAAGGCAACACTTAGAGAGGAGGGACAAGAGCAACATTTACCTTACTTCCATTAATTATAGCTACAGTATTGAATTGGATAGAGATGGCTATTTTAATAAGCCCTGATGATGGTGACTTGGCAGGATGGAAAAGGTGGTTGCACAGGCAAGTAGAGTCATGGGTGAGTCAAACATAAACTGTTTGCAAGGATGCTGTTAGCCCACATGAAGCCCACCTTGGGGCATGTTCTATCTCTCATCACACAAAACATCCCCACTTTGAAAAGGAATTTGATGTCTTTGGTCTAGTGCAGTTCTTTCCCTACTACAAGTAGGAAGAAGAATAATGATGAAGAGCCAAGTTATAAACCCAACACTTTATTATGTATGTTATTTACAGTATTTACATATTGCACATTTAGCTGGAATGTTCATACCTCTATTGTACAGGAAACAGATGGCATTTTAGTGGATGCAGAATCCAAGTTTTACTTAAAACATGTTTGTCTCTTCCACGTGGCATGCAGTTTGCACTCAGTAAGAGTACACCATAACAGATTTATGAAACATTTGTAACCAAACACTTTGAATTCCATAAGCAAGAAAGGTAACCTCCACAGGAAGGCTTCCTTGAAAGTGTCCCATGACGTCTCTAAATGAAACATGTTCTTACTTGGGAGGTTGATAATTCACTGAATTTTTTGGCAATGCAACACTTCTGATATAGGGTGGCCTTAAAGTATGAAACATTTTAAATTGTTATGGTAGAAAAACTACCAGAAAAAAATGTGTATCTGTAAACAGTGGTGACAGAATAGAAAACACATGTTTTAAAGATTTTATGGGAAGTAGTCTATCAACTTGCAAAAATAAATCTCTTGTTCACAATGGAGTATGTTACAAAGATGGTAAGTTCAATTTCCCTGTTGGTTTCCAAGGCACTTCTCTTGGTTCTTGATAATAGCTTTTTCCCTTGATAGTAGTAACATCTGAAGCAAAGACAAGACAACACCGCCCACCACAAAATATTAGTTTCTCGGTTTTCAAGTGAGCAAAATATTTCACTTTTGTTTTTGCTGCACAATCTGGCATACTAAAACTCTGGGTCGGTTACCATTTGCTGTCAAGGGATGGGGATTTAGGTAAGTGAGATAAAGCCTTCACAGTTCATGAGCACCAGCTCTTGGATACTCCAAGGCCTACGCTATATTTTTACTTCTTAAATACACTGATTTCCCTACTTGTGGCAATCATTCTTATATGACAGGCACCCCCAAACTCGGCCCTCCAGATGTTTTGGGACTACAATTCCCATCATCCCTGACCACAAGGGCTGAAAAGGATCTCAATCTCGGTGTTGATTCCAAGAGAAATGAATTGGTTTTGATTCTTGATATTGCTTACTGTTGTTAAGTTGGTATTTCAGTGAAATATAAATGTGCAGTTTTGGAGACAGATTCAGCTGAATGCACATAACGTTTGTTCATGCTTCAACTACATTATAACTCTATTATAGATAGATTAATCACTCCTACATGTATATTTTTAAGCTGCATTCAAATATGGCATAATCAACCTGTAACTTTAAATAGAGACCCAGTGTCAATACATAGAAACGGATGCTGACTCAGCCCCTGGAAATTAGCTGTGCCTGGATGTGCTTTGTTTCACTATCTGCTAACTGCATACAGCTATGAATTCACCCTTGATGTCTGAGAGTCTTTATGCTGCTTTCCGGTAGGGGGTATCCTTTTATTTATGGCTGGTATTTTGCCGAGTGAAGGGCGTTGTGTCATTCTCTCTGAAAGGGGAATACCTTCTCCAAAGAGCTATTGCGCGATGCTCATTAATTGTATCAAATCCACAATGGTGATGTTGCCATGCATATACAGGCAGTGTGCAATTGGTCCTTTCAAAAAGCTTACCTTATCCTTCCGTGCACATTGGACTTACTGCCAACCGAGTAAGAAGCCTGGCACATCTTTTATAGTCTAGTGAAAAGATCATAAATAGAAGTTAACAAACAACCCGGTATAACTTGAGGGTTTGATTTTTTTTAAAGTTCCTTATCGTAAGGTTATACAAGGAACTGCAAGCCTGTTGCAATTCATTTTGAAACCATTTATTTTTAAGTTATAAGTTTGAATTCTTTGCTTAGAAATCTGGCTGTATAAATGAGATTTATTTTAGTTTTTAAAGGGATTTTATATGCTTTTGCATGTATAATGCTATGCAGACTGGCCTGGAAGAAAGCACCTCTCAAGAAGAAACGGACGTGCACATGTAAACAGCTCGCTCCCATGGCTATGAACATGCACAGAAGAAATAGCTGCAATGCATGCCTGGACAGCTTAGGTATGCAGGATAGCAAATAAAATTGTGGTGTTGGTTCCATAAAATGAAAATTCTCATTTTCTACTACAATGAACTAGCAAAGACTGATAATAATCTGAAGCTGAAAACTCGAAGGGGATAAAAACTAGAGCACTGTTCATCTTCAGTTTGAATTTCTTGCCCTTTATTTGAGCAACAGATTACATTTTAGTTGTGTGTACAAAAATGTAATAATGTGAATATTGCCAACTTGTATCTGCTACTGTATATACATCAGTCAGGATTGGTCCCAGCTCATATGACATGTACACTTGGTGGAAAGCTTGAATATGGGACAATGAAATGTTCACAGTAAGATAATCATATCTCTAGGTTAATAAATCAAGATATGAGCAAGGATTTGATCTATGCATACAGGCCCTTTGTTCCTCCATTTCTGATGTGAGCAAGCCAATCAGAAAGTCTTCAGTTAACTGCAGTTTCTCATTTCATCTGAGCTAGGATAGTATCTCAGCTTCAAACCATGGCTTAATATCACGACTTGTTCCAAAGTTGGTGAGCATAGTATGAAATGGAAAACTGGTTAATTAGAGCCTTGCATACAGACTGCATGTGCAGAGAAAGGGCTTGTTGATATTACTGTCTGAAGGTGAGCAATTTGTGAAACCTCTAGACTTCGTAAAATCTAATGGCAAGGATCAAACTTTTAGGCTGCTTATCAAACTACTAAGCTTATGAAAGATGTATACCTGCAAAATTCATTCAGGTAATCAATTTTATGTGAGCTACAGCCTGAAAAGAAACTATTTTGGGAGCCTTCACATTTGACTTAAATCGTCCTGCAACCTACTTTGAAGGCCAAAACATTAATGTGTGTGTAAAAGCCCCGCTGTTACGGTTTTTGGATACTACAAAAACACAGTTAATCTAGTAAGGGAATTAATTCTTCTGTGATTGGCAGTAGAATTAGTAATTTTCTCTAATACAGCAAATGACATGTGTCTGACTTGCACATGCAAGTAGTTTTTTTATGCACAGTTGCCAAGAATAAACAATCAAAATGTGAGTCAAGGTATTGAAATGGCTGCCAAGTCAGGCTAAGGCTACTGGGGGAACAGACATTAAAGATGCACCATTAAGTACTCCTCCTTATATCACACTCATATAATCTATCAGCTATCTGTTGAGAGGACTATCTGTTGAGAAACTAATCAGCAGCCCAAGCAGTGATGTGCAACAGGGTAAAACCAGCTGCATGGGAACTGTTCAATTAGTGCTGCCTCATAACTATATAATATATTTCCCCCCAAAATGGTGTGCATAGGTTGGGGGGGAGAACCCAGAGTCATAGTTATCATTCTTAGGCTCTTGGATTATGGGTGTACAGTAAGCCCGCAATTTACAGGCATTTAACTTGTGCACATTCAGCTTTACATGCATGACGAAAAATAAAAAGGGGCCAGGGCTCTTGGAGAAATGACTTTGGCAATCCCACCCACCATTGAACCCAGTGTGTTTTGACTATATGCGATTTTGGCTTTGGGCAATCCCCGGAATGTAAGGAAATGCATCATTTTAATAAGTGTGGCATTGCTGTCAGCTGTGACTTCTGCCAGTTAAACAACTTCTTAACTGCTTGTGCATCTCTCTCTCTCTCTCTCTCTCTCTCTCTCTATATATATATCCCAGTGTTGCAAACCCAGATTTTATTCTTTAATGTCTGTTATCTGATGTACTATTAAGTTCCAAGTTACTATATTGCAAACCAAAGGCAAAGGAGTTGACAGATAATTGGCATACAAATTTGAGCTGCCTGCGGAAAGTACGTTTTAAGTTGATAGTTAAAGACATGAGACCTCTTGCAGGAGTCACAGCAATAGCACTTAAAATATTGTTCTGTGGGTTGCAACTCTGTGGGTGAAATCCAACAGTGTCTGTCTGCCAGCACAATGACTGCTGTTGACAGAATGGGTTCTCCCACTTGCAAACTCCCAACATCTGCCCTGGGTGGTTGGAAGACCCTATGAAGCAGATCTGTAGGGAGACGTCTGCTCACATGATGCTGGATGTTGCCCTATGCTTAAGAAATTTAAGATGAAACTCATAGTTCACACTTATAGGTACTGCTGGTTGTCTTCAACTAACCCACTGAAATTAATAACCATGACTAGCTTATGTCCATTGCTTCAGTGCATATACTCTTGTGTAAAAGCGAGTTGAGTACATCCCTGAATATTGACATTTGAGTCTCACTATACAGCAGTCTCTTTAATTACTGTAATTCCACAAACTCCTTAAATAAACCGAATAATAATTGCATTGGAAGACAGCTCTTTATTAAATGCAACTAAATTAAATGTCTGGCAATGGATTCTTGGGTGATAGCACTTACATGCAGGAATGGTGCAGTCTCTTGTATGATGGTAAAGTCTATGAAAGTGTTTAGTGCATTTTGGACCAAAATAAAGATGACCTGGGGGAGAAAAGAATTAGCGGATCAGTTGAATTAGTACCATATGAGGATAATTACAGACAAAAGTACCATGATAGAATGTTAAATTCTGCTTACCTGTTAAATGGTTTAAAAACTTGTCTTTCATTCTCAGATCTCTAGGAACTATTTCTGTTAAAAGGAATGAAGGACATTGTAACAGAATCATCATTCATGTTCTGTACATTTATATGCAGGGGTATAAATAATAAATTATTATTATTATTATTATTATTATTATTATTATTATTATTATTATTACATTTAGCTTCCAGAGGTTTTTCATTTTAAGATGTTAAACTGGTTGAAAAAGGCAGTGGCATTTTCATGGATCTTAAAAACCAATTGTAGGCTCATTATTTGCCCTTTGTAAAATTCTCATTTTCTAAAAAAAAAAACCCCACCTAGATACACCAGCCAAGTGTTAATAGCATTTAACACCTACTAAAATCAGTAATATTTTGAGTTAAAGACAGCTGGGATTGAATTTAATTTTGTTCACAATTCTGGAGAGCAAGTGCCATTGAAATCAAGTGGGATGGCTTTTGAGCAAAAGCAGTCAGCTTCTGTCCTACTCCAAATGTAAATGTTTCTTGCTTCTAGGCAGCTCTTGTATGTACAAGTTTTAAGAGATTTAGTGGTACATTGGATTCCACTCTGGCTGCCCATCTCTTTCTTCACAAGAAAGAATGTCATGGCTCTTCTAGCTGCTCCTGGCTCAGCTCTTCTGATGTAATTGGGGGAGGAAACAGGACACCTTAACTGAACAATATGAATGTGCCCTACATTTTGGAATTCCAAGTCCATGAACATCTTTTGTTAGTTTGCATAACACCTAATATTATCATTATCATTATCATTCTTCCACCCATCTGACTGGGTTGCCCCAGCCAATCTGGGCAGCAGAATATAAAAACACAATAAAACACCAAATATTTAAAACTTCCCTATACCGGGCTGCCTTCAGATGTGTTCTAAAAAATCATATAGTTGTTTATCTGTTTAACATCTGACAGGAGGTAGTTCCACAGGGCGAGTGCCACTACTGAGAAGGCCTTCCGCCTGGTTCCCTGTAACTTCATTCTCGCAGTGAGGGAACCGCCAGAAGGTCCTTGGAGCTAGACAGTGGGAGTGGAGACGCTCCCTCAGGTGTACAGGGCTGAGACCATGTAGGGCTTTAAAGGTCTGCACCAACACTTGGAATAGTGCTCGGAAACATACTGGGAGCCAATGAAGATCCTTTAGGACCCATGTGATATGGTCCTGGCGGCCACTCCCTGTCATCAGTCTAGATGCCGCATTCTGGACTAGTTGTAGTTTCCGAGTCACCTTTCTAGACATTCAGACTGCACCATGTTTGTGCATCTGAGTTGAGCTGTTGAAACACAGGTGCCACTGCTTGGGTATGTGATGATTAATGGGAGTGTCAGTAAAACATGCAAATCTGCTGACATGCCAGCTGTTGCTCCATGTTCATGTTAACAAAGAAATTTGCATCATGTGGTTTTACACATACAGGGTTGCGAACGTGATCTGTGCGGGAGGCGTGTTCGCAACCCACAGCGAACAACCCACAGACCCACAGTCTGCGCATGTGCAGGTCGCAATTTGGGGCTTCTGCGCATGTGCGAGCACCGAAACCTGGAAGTAACCCATTCCAGTACTTCCGGGTTCAGCGCAGTGCGCAACCCGAAAACACGCAACCTGAAGCATCTGTAACCCGAGGTATGACTGTACACTTACTGATACAAAGGTATAGACACCCATAATGAAGAACCTGGAGTTTGGCATTACAGAATCTGCAGTATCCTATTTAGTTCCTAAGCTCAATTCCTCTCAAATAATTGCATTTTGTTATCCAGGACAAATGTTCATCAAGCACGGTCTGAGAAACTGACTGAATAGGAGCATATTTTCAGGAAATGTAACCACAGTATTGTAAGGGAGGACAACATAATTTACTTGCTTCTTACTCATGTGGTTTGCTTTCCCACATCCTGTATTAAATGGAGGGGAATGCAACTAGTTCGTTGAAATCCTCTTTAGCTCCTTGTGGCTGTCTCCTTGATTTACTGTCACATTTTATTGCTTTTTGTTACTTACATTAAGACATCCGTGTTGATTGCACATGAAATGCTACACTTGTCTTTTTTTTACCATAAATGAATGCCTAAGTGGCCTTTGAATTCTCCTGGGACCTCTTTATTGCATTTAAAGTCAGAACTACTTCCACCCAGATCTGATTCACTGGTAAGTTTTAGACATTCTTGAAATTCACCATTTATTTACAATACTTCTAAGCATAGTCAAGCTCAGTTGAATTGACCTTATAATATTTGACCTAATTGTGTCATGCGCCACCTTAAATGCTTAGATGTTTCTTTCAAAAGTCCCTCAGGGGACAGTCAGGCATTAGATGATTGATAGGTAGAGTTCTGGCTAGTAGTTCCTTGCAATGATAGCGAGACTGCTGGGAGGAAGCCTTTCAGAAGTTGGCAAGTTGCTTCAGCACAGTTTTATTTTGATTAGAACAGGTTCTACTTCAGCTGTTGTGCTCCAATTAAGTGCTGCACAGTGGTTCTACATCAAGCTCAAGCCGTTAGTTAAGTAGGTTTTCAGTGTGAAATCTGTTTCTAACACTGTTTCTAACTCACGAAAGTTGTCCAAAACATGAATAGCACCATGTTAGGGAAGGCTGATGCAGACTGTGATGGATTCTATGATTTCAAACTGCAGCTGGAGTCATATTTTTGAGTGCTCCTCTCTTTATATATATATTTAAAACCATTCATCCGCCTGCATGCCAAAAGAAAAAGAAAATCTTGTACAGGGAGAAATTTAGATGACTGTTCTTGATGTGCCAGTTTACTGTGTGAAGGTGTGTTTTCCATGTAGCAGGGGGACCAACGCTCTGACCTATATCCAGCACAATAAGCAATAAATCCTATAATTTTACAGGCTTCTTCTACATAATAGGCCGGATTCAACTAACAGATTCAATTAACGAGTCAACATCCAGCACACTTGGGCAGATACTGGGGCTTATACACCTTGGGGAGACCAGTGATGCTGATGTTTACCTTGCCTGGACCTCCTGCAGTACATGTCACCGATTAGTGCCAATGCCACTTAAGCGATTGTATTGGTGATGGTGGGTTTCCTAGGAGAGGTGGGCATTTGTTTGATTCTGATCAGTACTGGACAGCTGCCATTTTATATTTCTCATAATGCAATGGTGCAGAATTTGCCAGGTGCTCTGGAGCGTTGTGGTGTAGGGAATTTTAAATGGTGACCACCAGGCACAAATTCAAACTAGTAGCCACTTTTGCTCCCCAAGTAAGAGTGTTGGTGCTGTTGGGTAAGCCCACAGGGGTGGGCCAATAGGCACCGGTGCCAGAAGGACCCAATCGGAGCACAAGGCAGGGAATCTGCATCAGCACCATGGCTGTCCATCAACAGCACTGATGGGTCACTCAAGCCTGATACCTGACCTAGATTTCAGGGTCTTGCAAAGTTCCTTGCTTTTCCTGTGACTAGCTGAATTGTGTATATTATGCATATATTGTGCAAAATTGTGGAAATTTATAAAGTAACTCAGCATTTTAAGTCAGCAAATGCACAGTATTGTATACAACCCAAAGCTGCAATCCCAAGCAACCTTATTACTTTGAGAATTTACTTTGAAATGAGCTTGTTTAGATCTGGATGCAAATCTTATTAAACATTAGCTGACATTAGCATATTATAGTGGCTGACAGGAGCGGAAGGGAGGATCTGTATCTTATTAGAATAACTGTTGGGTCTCTGGACTGTAATAAAGATTGTTGTTGTTGTATTAGAATAACTACAGATAGATTGAATCTACAAAGGCATGTGGAACCCTTGCAAGTGAAATTTCACTTTCTGAAAATTTTAGCGCCCACTGCCTGGTTATTGTTGCTCAATAGCAATGGTATACTTGAGTACTGTGTTTATTGAGAACTCTCTGTAGGAACTCTCACTTTGTCAACAACAATTACTCTTTCAAGGAAAACCTCCCAAGTTCTAGATGCATCAGAATTTTGGGTGTTTTTCAGTATATAACTTTTTTCAGGCTTTTAAAAATCTCCCCTTTTCTTTTCCTGTCGTGCTTTATAGCCATTTACTTGCAGAGGGGGAGCAATTCAGTGCCACCCATGGGGTGTGATCTAAATCTTCCCCATTCCTCTAAGGTGCCTCCTAAGCAATATAATATGCGATTAAGTACTACTCAAACAGGACCCAGCAGATCAACTATATTTGCTCTAATTGGCAAGTATTTATGATAAGCCTAAATTCCCATTTTCAAGGGACTTGCAAGTGTAGTCTGCAAATCTTTTATTATTATACGTAAGATTTGACAGTGCAATCCTGTGAATTCAATGGCGCTTACCCCCAGGAAAGTACACACAGAATTGTAGTCTAATTGTCTAAAGCCAAATTTCTGAAATAATTTACAGCAGAATTAAACCCCAACAAAGAAATGCTGTTTCAGAGTAACTAATGGCCAGTTAAGCCAAATAGTATGATTTTAAAGAATTAAAGTTCCAGTGATATAAGCACGACTAAAATTGGCTATTTTTTTAGTCTGCAACTAGTTCTGATTTCTGGTCCAGGAAACAGACAGTTCTTAAACTGAAAATTTGCCATTGGTAAGACTTCTTTCCAGAAACATGTTTATGGTGTCAAAAACACAGGCATAGACATATAATTATAGCATTTCTCAATACATAACAGAGACAAACCCAGCCAGTACAAGCACTATCATTGATTTCTGAAGAGTAGCAGGAAAGAGAGAGAACTGCTTACATTTCAGCAATGAGTATGCTGCCACATTTTCTGCATACCTTATGTATATACACAGCCTTGTTTGGAGAATGGGGGCGGGATAGCTGCTGCTTTGGTTTGGAGCTGAAATCAGTTTTGGACAGCACTGATGGGCTGGCCCTTGTATCAATCATGAAGCACCTCCCTCTTAAGGGCTGGACTATGTGTAATGCTGATTGGTTCGCCCTTGTGCCAGTCACAAAGCTATCTCCCCAATCTGAGCAGATTTCAAAGTTAAACAATGTACAACCACAGCAAATAAACAAGTTGGATACCTAGAGGGGACTAAAAAAAAAAGTTGGCTGTCTCAAAGCCAGGGAAGGGTGCTTGCAAGCTGGAGGTTGTTTTCTGGTTGATAAAGCATGAGGAGTGGAGTACAGCTTGCATTGCAGCCGAAAAACCTGTCATGCTACTCTTTCAAGGTATGACTACAAGTAGCCTTAATAAGAAGTTTACAGAAAATGACAAAATATCATTCCAGTTGCAAAGTGTTCATTTCCGCAAAGCTTGCAAACAATAGCATAGCTCAAACATTGTTGTACTGAAGACTGCTCTAAACAGCTGATAGCAGACCTGCTTCAAAGATCTTCCTCAGATAACTTAAAAAAACACATTCCATATGAGAAACTGAAAAATATTCATTCAACCAATGCAATTTAGTTGCTAAGGGAGGTTTCCAGGTGTCAACCAAAAACTCGCCTGCAGCCAACTGCTTAGAACATTCTTCAATACAATACTTTGCACTTGTAATTATATTTTTCCTGCTTTGTTCTAAATTTCTCCTCATCAGTATATTGTCACAGCTCTGTGCTTTTCAGGCCCCTTATACAGAACTGTATAACTACTTCACTCATCTATTAAAATCAATGCAATTTAAATTTGCTTAACCTTCAAAATAAAATCTAGAAAAAAAGAAACTTTCAAGAAGCAGAAAACCTGTGGGAGGTATCCGAGTGACTAGCAGTAATCAATTGTAGATTTGCACACGAAGTTGCCTTATACTGATGCAAACCAGTCTATTGGGGCGGGAACCCTCGAAGTATGGAAAACTTTTAAAAAGAAACTTCTGAGAGTTTCAGATTTGCAATTGACTAGACTAGAGTAACAGACAAGGAACTGTTAGCGAGCCTCGGAGCACATACATCGCAAAGTGATCTCCTTTAGATGATGCTTCTCGGATTTCAACCTATTAATTTGCTCTTCAGCGCCATCGATCGCTGAAGGAGGGCGTAGCATGGTTATTCCTCGTTCAACGCGAGGGGAGCTTTGCTAGTCTGGCGTTTCCCTTCAGAGCGGTTATTGAGGAATCCGCTGCACAATTAAGGACTGGAGCAATTTGCAAGCCTCCCCCCACCCCCGAGATTCCTCAGATGCAAACTGGCAGCTTGATGACCGAGCTCTCCGTTTTCTAAAGTTTAACGCAAAAAGAAAAATGAACGTAACAGGTTGCAGTGTCTCCTCTAACACAATGTAGTATTATTTGACTTACCAACTCTCTGTTCTTCTGAGTAAGATCCATAATCGGGTACTACTTCCCTTCTCCGGTCCAAAAGATAGTCTTGTTTGTACTGAACCCCGTTCTCCTCGTCCTCCTCCAGGTGGTATTTTTTCAGTTCCTGAATGATCTCCATGATCAGGTTTAAGAGGTTCTGCCTTTCCTTCAGCCCTGCGCTAGATTCGGGTCTCTCTTCGCAATGTCCCGCTGAAAGCATCGCCAGCACCAGCCCCACCAACGCAGGAGATCTCAGGAATCTGCCCATGGCGCTTCCGAGGTCAAACGAGGGATAGATGGAGCCACTTTCCGAGTCCACTCCCTGAAACCAGCTGTGGAGGGGAGATATGTGTCACTGCCAGGTGTCACGTCAACGCGAACAGTGAGTGGCAAGTTAAGCAATTATTCTCCCTTCAAGTTGAGAGTGCCCAGATTTCTAACCTCTGCCTTCTCTCCCTCTCTCTTTTTTTACTTAAAAGAGGGGGAGGACCCAGATCCTCAGCTGGCAGCTCTCTCTGCTCTTTAGCCAAGTAGGATCTAGTAGCAAGAAGAAGGCAATTGAATTCCCCAGCGGCATTCGCGTCTCACTCGCTTGGTCCTGAACTCACTGCCCTTGCTCTTGGTGCCACGGAGTTAAAGAGCGCTTGCTTAGGACAGGAAGATGGATATCGAATACTTTTAACACATGGTGTTTGGGCTTTGTTTGGGTTGGGACCTGGAGATCAATCAACCAATAAACTTTTCGCTTCGAAAATAAGGAAGAAGCATGGCCCTATCCCTCATTGAGTCCACAAGCAGCAGAGGGCTAGGAGAGATTTATTTGCAGAGGAGCTGCTTTCTGGAGTGTTCAGATCAGCTTGGCAGAAGACACCCTTCTGAGCGCACGGCTTCCAAAGCAGGACCTGAGCGCCAGCGATGAAACTCCTCCTTGCTTGTTTGGCACGCGAGGGAGCCTTGCACGAAGGGAAGGGCTTACTCACCCCTCTCGCTTAACTGAGAAGCCCCAAGAGTGGGAATCAATGCTTCTCAGCCAGAGGCAGTGGTGACACTTTACTCCGGAGCCTTTACACCAGGGATGAGTTCCAGCGTGGACCCTCGAGATGCTGTCGGATTCCAACTCCCATCAGTCACAGACAGCATGTCCAATGGTCAGGGGGTGATGGGAGATGAAGTCCAGCAACTGGGGCCGCACGGGTTCCTCCCGCCCGCCTCGCAACAAAGGCGAGACCCGCCTCTCCCAACTCAGCAGCCTGCCCCACAGCCTTGCTTGTCCCCTCTCTGCTTCCTACTGGAGATCGGCATGGCTTTATATGAAAAGCAAACTCTAGGGGAAGCAAAGGACCTGAGGGGTTCCGCCCCCCCTTTCCCCCTCCTCTGTTTCTTTTGGAAACCTGTTTTTGCGTAAGGAGAGGAAGGCCGAGGGGGGCGGGGAGCAAGAAGCAAGTGCAAAATGCCAGGCAGGTAAATAGAGTCTTGCCTGGAAAAGTTTGGCAAGCTTTCACGGCATTCTGCAAGGGGGGGGGGGGCGCAAGTGACGGCTGTCTATTAAATCTACTCGCTCCCTAAGCGCTTGGCTAGCCAGCAGCCTGCCTCGATCCGAGAAGAACTTGGCCGCTTCTTTGCTCCCCCTAATTTGTAATCTGATGAAGAAATGTGGCGGGGTTTCCCCTCTTCGCTCGGCAAGTAATTTATCAAGTGGTTACATGCTTACATCCGAGGGCATACATAGAGAATCCAAAGTGACGCGCGCAGGCTCAGATGCTCTGGTCCAGCGGAGTGGGAACTTGTGGTCCTCCAGATGTTGCTGAACCCTCGACCCATCATCCCTTAGCTGGGGCTAATAGGAGCTGGAGTGCAACATCCGGAGGGCCGCAGGTCCCCCCAGTCTAAACCCCCTCTCTCCACGGACGCCAAACCCTACGCAGGCACATCGGCGGGTCTGGGAAGCGCCTGCCCCTTCGGCCCTCCCATGTCCGGCGCGCCTTCCTCCTCCTCCACGTGGCTTGCGGATGCTCGAGGAAGAGCAGCCTTCGCTTGCCTGGAGCCTCCCAGATGTCTGAGGTCTGCGACTCTCCGCAGCCAGCGCATCTGGGAGGCACCAGGCTGAGCAAGCCCGGAGTGGAGAGAGCGAGAGAGAGGTATGAACATCTGGCTGGCTGAGAGCGACCCATTCATTCGAAAAAGGCGGCTCGGTCCAGCCAGAGCTGTCTCTGCACTTCTCAGCCCCGTCGATTTTGCGAAGAGAAGAGCCGAGATTCCATCCGTCGAAATCAAGGCGATTTCAACTTTGGCTAGGACTTTCTCTCCGTTCCAAGCGCGGCTGCTGCGCTCGGCTTCTCCTCTTCCTCCTCCCTTCCCCACCCGCCAGAAAGACTCGGGAGGCAAACGGGGCGAGCGGGGCGCCACAGCCCTCTCAGCTCGACCCTCCTCCTTGCCGGGCGGCGGCTTGGTGCCTCGGGCTCCCTCCCCTCGCTTCACTCGCCGCTCAGCAAGTGAATCGGCTGGCCGGGCCGGCGAGTCGAGCGACACCTTCCGGAGGTGCCCGAGCGCAACTACGCCACCGCCGCCGCCTCTGGCCAGAGAGCGGCTGAATTTGGCGAGAGGCGCGCGGTGGATCCCGCTGTCCGGGCGTGTCCGCCCTGTCGTCTCCTGCTCCTTGAGCTCTCGGGAGCATTACCTGCCTCCGTTCGCCCTTTGAGGCGGTGTGTGTGACGGGGCTCCCTCCCTCGCCGGCCGGAGCCTCGCTTCTCTCGCCGCGCTCTGTCTCCTTTCCCCGGCGCGCACGCCGTCCGCTCTCCCGCCACCTACTCCATGTCCGCGCTTTTATAGAGGCTTATATAGGGTATCCGCGAGGTGGCCGCCGCCGCCTCAGACAGTATCGACTTGCAAGTGGGTGGACGGCCGGCTCTCCCCCAAGTCCCGCTCTGCAGCCCCTCGAGTCGCCTCGCAGCCACTGAAGTTCTCCCCTCACGGCTCCCCCGCCCCGGTCCCTTCTTATGCTGCCTCCCCGCAGACGTAAAACGAGCAGTCCCGGCTCAAGGGGGGGGGGGGAGGGAGGGGGAGGGAAGGAAGGAAAGGGGGGTGTCCAGCAGCCCGAGTTTCTTTAATTAGAAACTCCGCCTGAAATATTCATTTCGCCCCCCTTCCCAACCACCCACCCCCACCCCGGCCCGCTCGCTCGTTTCCCGCCGTTTCCTCGGGGCGCGCAGCCTCCCTCGCGCACTTCTCGTCTCGGCCCGCCCGGCGGGCTGCATCTCTCTGGCATCACTGCCCGCCAGCTGAGGGGGGGGGGGGATTACCAGCAGCGGCTCGTGGGCTTGGCCGCTCGCCCCGGCCTGGCGCGCTTTGCGTTCGGTGGGGCGGGAAAGGGCGGGGTGCGAAGACGAGGAGCCGGGGTTTGGTTTACATTATCTAATCTTCCGGAGCGAGAAGCGGGAGATCGATGCCCTTCCCACTCGTCGGATAGAAGAAGAGAGACTTTCCCATCCTTCCTTCCTTCCCCTACTTGTGGCAGGAGCTGTAAGGCGGGCGGATGTGGGGTTGGGGCTCCCTCACAGCCGACGGAAGGGACGAGAGAGCCTTTGCCACTTATAATGTCGCAGGAGACAGTTCTGACTGGATTCTCCCATGCAGAGGAGCCAACTCCAAGGGGCAGAGGTCCCTTCAGGCCCCCCCCCAAAATATTTGAGGGAGCCACCGCCCACCCACCCCCAGTTGATGGGCGTTGCCATTTCAATGGCATTTGTGCAAAGTTTCATGGATCAGTTATGTGGGGTGGGGCTTACCTGCCCCCCTCACCCCAGTATTTTATTCAAGTTGGCACCCCCTGCCACCAAGGGACCCTGCTGGCCCATCTTCAGAAGTGACAGGCCAGACTGGGCTTGGTTCTGGGAATCCCCAAGCAGGGCACACAAACCCCAGCAGTTGTGTTCAGTGGCTGCTATCAGTTGGAAACGTAAGACAATAATCCAGAAACAAGTGAAGTAATAATCAACCAAACTGCTTCAGAGCATTTGCAGAGTGCCTATCTCTCTTCAAATCACAGCAGGCCAGCCTCAGACAATAGGGTACTATTAGAAGATAGCAATTCCTTCATTGGTATTGCCCTCCTGCCTCCTCAGGGTACCATTTGGATGGCTATTATTATTTCTTGCCTCAGGCTCCCAATTATTTCGTGTTGTCCTCGACCCACACACCTGTCCACACAACCTAATGGTAAAAAGAAGACGTTAAAGGACTTTGAAACCCGACATGCATTTTCTTTTCTAAAAAATTAAGCACTATCTTTGGATGAAGGGTGGCGTAGAAATTCCATGAATAGTAATAGTAGTAGTAGTAGTAGTAGTAGTAGTAATATATAATGGTTTAGGCCCAATGCTTTGGCACGATGGCACCACAGATGCAAGACCTGGGAAAACTAGCACCTCATAGTTTGGGACACATGCTGACTAAACTACGGTATATTAAAATCTTCACTTCTCTCACAAGCATTTATTTATACTCTACACAAGCATTTATTTATAGGAGAATCTGGCAAAGCAGCAGTCATGGCATAGGATACCAATAGAAAACCCAGTTTTAAAAGTTGAAATTCAAAAACAAAATTTTAAGACAGTTTTAAAAAGCAACCGTTTGCACAGCGCACCATAAAACACAAACGTAAACAGAATGAAACAGTATAAAAAGGCTGGCCTTGTTTATTGACTTGATTACAAGTGAATTAAGCTGGCTGAAGGGTATGGAATATGTAACTCTCCCCCCCCCCCCATTTTTACCTTCAGAAGAACCCTACAAAATAAGTTAAAGTGAGAGAGGCTGAACAGCTTAAGGTCACCCAGTGAGCTCTTCCCAAGCCTAGTCCTATTTCATATCAGCTGTAGTTTGTATTGGGCAACCACAGTCATTGCTCTGTGTGTGTGTACAGACATGCATGGGTCCTTTAAATGTGATCGTGTAAATCATGGCTACATATGGTGTACACTCAAGGTGTGAAGTGGATGTCAAATCAAGTACTAGTTTTGAATCTGAACAGGTGACTTGCTCAGAACTAGCTTACAGTCACTTGGAACTATTAGACAGTGGTAAGCTTTTTTAAAAAGAAAACTGCTTACATGAATGGTCTATTCACCTGTACAGTTAAACATTCACACAGGATTACAGTTCTTCAACAAAATGAAATAAGCAATGCCACCTCAATGTGGACTCACCGGATTCTCCTAATTATTTCATTTGCTTCCAGGCTCGTTTTGCCACCTGTAAAATGGGACTAGCAGGTATTCCACACACCCTCCCACAGACATAAAGGAATGTTAAAGTGTTTTGTGCTCAAAACCATCTTATCATGATTAATAATAAAGAACAATGGTTGTGTTTGTATGTTTGCTGTAAAAAAACAACAACCCCTGTCTCCATGAAATCCATTAATTTTCCTACAGGGAAAAAAAAGATATCCTTTAAGGTGCCTCCTAAGCAATATAATATGTGACTAAATGCTACTGAAACAGGATCCAGCGGAACAACTCTATTTGCTCTAATTGTGTGTATATAAACCTCTCCCTTTTCTGCTAATAAAGTAAATAGAAAGTTGGATCAGACGATGTGACCCTTTCCCAACCTGCGTGAAATGGATAGGGAGGGGGAAGAAGCAGTAGAGATAATCAAGATGCACTCTGGTTGACTTAGGTAAATAATCAAGTACTTACCAATGCAAATAATGTTTCAGGTGCAAAGGACAAGATATTTAGAAGCACCCTGTCCAGGTGAGGAGAGCAGCGACCCACGCTGCTGCTGCTGCTGTTGCTGCTGAAGTCCAGCATTGGCTGAGATGAGCAAGAAAAAAGGAAACAGTCAGGAAAGAAAAGGAAGTATGCAGTGCCTCCCTTTAGGAAACAGCAAGCCACTGAACCCACTGCTAGGCTTAAATTCCTAACTCAGGTGCTTAATCTTGTGCAAAAGTTTAAAGAAGCAGTAGAGATTTGTTGCTCTTAGCCAGGGGTCGGCAACCTAAGGCCCATGGGCCACAAGCGGCCCACGGGGGTCGTTTAACTGGCCCACGAGCTGCCCCCGAACTGAGCCGCTTGTTCGGCGAGCCCCTGCGCACTGCGCTAAACCGACACGGCACAGCACAGCAACTCGCTTCCACTGTGCCGGAAATCGTGTCTGCAGAGACGCAGATGCTAGAAATCGCAATCCAGCCCACAGAGGGATCTCCACTGGAGTGAACCGGACCAGGCGAGGTAAACCTTGCTGACCCCTGCTCTTAGCCATTGTTTTCGAGAGCCAGCTCACTTTGGGGGGAACTTTGCAGCCTGTTAGCGATGGTCTTTCCAAGCTAGCAAATTGACAGATCGTACACATTGTTAGATCCAAGTATGCATAAAAACTCATTCTGAGCTATACAATGAAATCAGGACTAGATGTCTATTTCAAACAAACACATGTGGGTATTTCCCTGTTTTGTGTCATCTGTCTGTACGATGGAGGCACACAGCTTGTGTTCTGCAAGTTGAGATATATTCCTGGCTCTCCCTGGGAATTATTTCTCTCCCAGTGCCAAGATTGTTAAAGCAAGTGAAGGGGGAAGTGTCACACTGTTGCATTAAATGACATGTATGGGTTGTCCCGTTTTCAGACTTGCATTCCTGCCTGCCACTGCAAATTTCTTTCCTCCCAATCCGAGGCTGTTTTGGAACTCCTGCAGCCCAGCATTCAGCCCCATGTATGGCTTGACTTGCTCCGTGTTGGAGGGCCGGCTGTTATTATGAGCTAAAAACTGTTGTGCATTTCAGTTTGTGGACGTAAAAATGCTGTGTTTTCAGAACTGCTTAATCAGGGTTTCTTGGACTATGTGTGAGCCAAATTTCAGCTTTCCAGCTGTTGGGGAAGTTCCTCAACAAATCTGATACTCCTCTCAGTGATGTTCAAGTGATGTGTCTGCAACATATCATTGCAGTGAAGCACAAAGATTTTACCAGCATGCCTCTCTGCACGTAAAAGGGCAGTTTGAACCATGGTTATAGAAGACTTAACATTTTTAAAGTCCTGGGCAAACATCTACTGGCAAGTCTGTTGATGATGGAGGTGGTGGTAATGGTGGATCCTCAGGCAGATGGAAAGACAGACAGATGGCTAAAATGTTGTTTCATATACTATTGGAGGTTGCTTCATAATCTAGGACTGAAGCTGAAGTAAGTCTAGGTCTGTCTAAAGACAATGGCTAAGCATTCAAGATTCCTATAAGTGTATTCAATTTTCTTGTGGAGGTTTGGGACACACTGGTTTTGATCAACTCAACCTGATATTCTTATACACCAGCTATCGTAAGACAACTGTATTGGCTGCCAAGTAATTTCAGGACCTAATTTAAGATGCTACTTTTGACCTTTAAACCCTTAAACCATCTGGGTCCCAGTTATCTCAGAGGACATTTCCTCCCAGTAAGCGTTGAAGATTTACTGAGAACCTTTTTGAAGATTCCAACATGCATATGGAAGCTAGATTGAGGCCCAGCAAAGCATTTCAGTCTGCAAGTGAGTGACTGCAAGCCAGGAGGGATTGCAGTATAACATGTAGTCCTTTAGATATCTATGCACCTGAAGAAGAAAAGGAAAAGGGATAGGTAGGTTGGAAAGAGATCACTCTACGATTTATGAACAAAACTCATTTGTTTCAAAAAAGGACTTACAGAAATTGGAGACAGAAAAACACAGTCTTCATCTGTCCCTCTGGTAGGGGCTAGATATTTTACATCTAGAATAATATGAAAAATGTGCTTATGAGGAACTCCAGATACTACTAGTAGGGCACCTCGTTGTTGTAGATGCTGCTTCTGACCCTACTGTGCTAATGCACAGTACCAACAGCATTTCAATATAGTAGACACACCTTTAGGCTAGGAAATAAATAAATGCTAAGTTGTGATATTTTCTTTTCTGGAAATTTTTGAGGAAAGGCTGGTTAAACGCCTGTCAGAGATGGTTTAGTGCAGAGGAAGTTGTTATTATGCTGAGGAGGGAAAAGGGCCAATTTGCACTTTCTGAAATAATACGCAAACTGAAATGCAGCTACCCTTCAAAATTTGCATGGCTCTGAATTTTGTAATGCAGTTCTCCTGTTAAGTAACGTGTACAAAGTGCCCTCCATTTTTAAGCAAGCCCACCTAATTCATACCTCACAGACAAAATACCTATGTTAAGCTTCAGATTTCCCACATCGGCAAATGATGCGGTAGAATTCTTCGCTCAGAAGATGTACCAAAACGGGCTAAAAATTTACATATTCAAATACTAGTTTTGTACAGTTTAGAAGCAAAACAAACAAACAACCCACAACTTACTGCAGGAATGGGATTGAACAGACTTCTGAAGGAACACATGCAAAGCTGACATGGACCCAAAGTAGAAGCGCCATTCCATTCCTACCTGTCAATACATAAATAAATAAAAATTATCAATTGAGAAGTCACTCCTCAAACAAAAGGCTACCTAAGTTACTAGGCCACTTAATTCACAGCCAGCAATGAGAGTTTTGTCAAGAGCTACTGCTCATGCGCCTCCAAAGCAGCTGCCTTTGTAGTTTGCAGAGCAACCAATACTTTTGATGAAGGGGGTTGACAGACATTAAAGTACTTTTGCACTACCTGCAAATCAGCTGGTTTGGAGCAGCTGGTCTGCTCAATGATGACAGATTTTGCTTTGAAGCTAGAGAAAACTGGGCTAAGGAAACTCAGGGGAGCATGGGGGTAGCCAGGATTTTTTTTGGGGGGGGAGTGACTTTGTTGGGGGGCAGGACTTTTGTTGGGTGGGGGCAGAACTGATGTGATTGGTCAGTTAAGTATTTCTGTTGTTGTACGTGATGGGGGGGATGGATGGGACCCTTGGTTACATCCATGCAGGGAAGTGGTACTTGATTTGTAATACAGCTGAACATCACAAGGAGACAAAGTTGATACCAAACTAGGGGGAAAAGCTCTCGACATCACTCCTCCAAACTATTTCTAGTTTCTGTTCTTGACTGGAATATAGGTACACAACAATGGGCCCGATCTATCTCATCAGTACTGGAGACGTCTCAGTTTCACTGATTAAAGACAAGAATAAATGCTCTCACATTGGAAGAATCAATAGGATATAAAAGTGCTTAACATTGACAGGTCGTGCCTAAGATCAATAGCAAAAAGACAGTAATCATTTAAAATTATAAAACTTTCTCTGCCTAAACATAGTCCTGATAGCCATAGATTCACTCTGTGGGTACCACTTCAAAGGTAATGATGTTTTGACTTGAAGATTTAGTTGGCCTATATAAAAACAATGACAAAACATGCTCCATTTGTGTCTGCCCACGGAAGATTGGTGAAATTTTCATGCTAAGAGGCTCAGTGCTTCAATTGCACTCTTGTTTTGGCTGATTAAAACAGACATAGGATTCCCATCTATATTTAATAAAAGGAAGTACTATAACTTTCTTCAGTTGTGGAACAGAGTTGACTGTTTAAGTGTAACTGCAATGCAAACAACATCCAGACGGCATCTAGGCTTGGGAAAAAAGATTGCTGACAACAATCCTGAATGTGGATGATTTAAAAAAGTATTATTGGATCAAATATTTTTTATTTTAAAACCCACAGATCTTCAAACAATATTTTATTTGAATCTTCTTTTCCTAAAACATCAGAATGGAACAGGAGATTTTATTTTTAAGACCAAAACAGAAAAGCGTACTTCCTCCAAGCAAATGAGAAGCGCTGTGTGAAACTCTCAGACTGACTGAGACAAGAGGTGCTGGTAATTCTGTCTGGTTCATTGAATGGATATCAGCTGGCTGACAGGACAACTGGACTTGCCAATCAGTGCCCCCATCTATCATTCTAAAGGACTGACAGAGGTACATTATAAAAATCAAATTTCAAGTCAAATATAAAACTTAACCATTAAAGAATATCTCCACTGGTGAAATCTGTTGTTTTCTGTTGTCTATGCAATGCAGTTCATTCACTCATTCTTCACACTACTTTCCCACCATTGGCTCCAGAAAGTGGGCAACTGTGGCTTGGGTACAGTAATGCTCTGCACAAGCGGAAAAACATCTACCATTGCACAAGGGATGAGCCCCCAATTTCTGACCTCTCTCTCCCTCCCCTTGCCAAGCTGTGCTACATGCAATGCTATTCTAGAGGATTCAACCTTGAACACTTGGATTTCAAATGGGGATATGGGCAGGAACGCGAAGGGAAGAGACAGAGAAAACCCATTTCATGAGCAGATGTTTCAGAGTTCATAAGGTTCAACCCAGTAGATTTTGAAATGCAAAAATAAAAATAAAATAAATTAACACAAAGGGTGGTGCTAAGTTTTTTTTTAAAAAAAATATTCCATGAATGGTCTGCAGAGGGAAGCGTCTTCCATTCACAGAGCATTACATTCCACCACTTGTATCTTTAACATGGGAGCACCTGGTATTTGCTTTTGAGGTCTACTACTGTTACCAATAAGGACGCGGGTGGCTCTATGGGTTAAACCACAGAGCCTAGGACTTGCCGATCAGAAGGTCAGCAGTTCAAATCCCCGCAACGGGGTGAGTTCCCATTGCTTGGTCCCTGCTCCTGCCAACCTAGCAGTTCAAAAGCACGTCAAAGTGCAAGTAGATAAATAGGTACCGCTCTGGCAGGAAGGTAAACGGTGTTTCTGTGCGCTGCTCTGGTTCGCCAGAAGCAGCTTAGTCATGCTGGCCACATGACCCAGAAGCTATACGCCAGCTCCCTTGGCCAATAAAGCGAGATGAGCGCCGCAACCCCAGAGTCGGCCACGACTGGACC